TAAAAGCGCGTATCATGGCCATCATCGATCTTTGATCTTGACGAATGTCATGAAATTCAGCTCAGAAATGGGGCAACTCACCCGCCAGGTAATCAAAGAGGTGCTCAGCAATGGTATCAAGGCGGCCTCTTCCATGGGTAAGAATTATTTTAATAGGGTAGGTGGTGATTATATAGTGATTGTGTGGAATGAGAATAGATCGGGAGGAAGCTCATTGTGGTGGGTTATTTAAAGATGGATGGAGGAATGTAAGGATTTGAGGTAAGTGGAATGCTAGGATGTAGTTATGGGGGAAGGAATTTAGTAATGGGTTGGGTGGCAGAGAGATTGGCAAATAAGAGGTAGAAGGATGAGAGGAATTTAATGGGGCGTAGGTGATTTGGAGGAGGCAGTGGGATGATGTGGGTGAGAGAAGAGGGAAATAACATACTGTCGCTTCATTTCTTTTCCCTTTTTTTCTGTTTTTTCTTTTTTCTTTTTCTTTTTTTTTTTTGTCTTTTTTTCTGTCGGGCCATACCTGTTCTTTTTTTTTTTTTTTGTTTTCCTGAAGAAGCCGTAGCCTATAAAGACAATCAAGCCCGGCACTGAAACTGTGTTGCTGCATCGCCGAAAAATTCCACCCGAGCGACAATCGCAATTCAGCCCCTTTACTTAATGATTAGTGATGATGGATTAAAAAAATGACCGGGCGATTGTCGCCGGAAAGCTGGGCGAATGATCACCCAAGTGCCGGGTCTATTGCTTTTGCCGGAAAAAATTTGCCAACGTTGCGTGCTACTGCTGCGTCGCCCATGATGAGCGACAGTCGTCGTCAAGCCGGGCGAATCGTCGCCCGGCGCTGCTACTCATTTGCTTCGCGTTGGAAAAAAAATTCACCGGGCGATAGTCGCCCATAGGTTAGGCGATCATTCGCCCGGTACTTGTACTGGCTCCGAAAAAAAAATCCCCACCAGGGCGATGGTCGCCCATGGCCAGGCGATCATTCGCCCGGGCCTGCTGTTGATCCCTTTTTTTTTTGGTTGAAAAATGTAAACTTCAAACGGCCATAACTTTGTCATCGGAGGTCCATTTTGGACGATTTTTTTTTTATTATTTTGGGTATTTTTTCAAGATCTACGCGATGCAAATCGTCGTAGGGGTTTGGTCAATGTTTAGACCCAAAAAATGCTCTGTTATGCTCTTATTTTCTTCGAGACAAGCACGACGCTTCATTATTGCTCAACTTGTATCCTGCACAAGTAACTAAAAATCCTACGGAACACATTAAATTTTCCTAATCTACTAAAACAAAAGATAAAATTAAAGAAAGAAAGAAAAAAGCAAAAAAAAAAAAAAACAAAACAAAACAAAATTACATATATGAAAAATCCTATCTACAAATCCTACATTTAACGTCATTAGGTGACGTGATACTTAGATGATTAGGCGGAGTAAATGGGATCTGTCAAAGTGACGGACTCAACTCCTTTCGTAGGCACGAAATCCTCAATGTACCAATCCTTCTTATCCGGCCGAACTATCTTTTTTCTTGACACTTTCCAATTCATAATATCAGCATACCATGGTGGAGTTTCCTTCTGAAGTTGAAATAGCTACTTATCCAGGAATGAATTATGCAATGGAAGAGTGTTTTTTGGCCCAAGATATGCATACTTCAAATGAAAGGGTAACGGCTTCAGCTCTAGCTTGGTGGAGACTTCAAAGATGGCGTAGGTGGTTCACTTGACAATGGTAGAAATGGCTCAATAGGAATTTCCATGGTGGAATGTTATGCATATTAGCCCCATGAAGAATGACATTCACCTTTTCAATGCTTTTATCGACATCAAAGGACTCAATATCAAAGTAAGATAGGCATGCTTCCAGTGGATCTTTTGTCATGGCAAATGGGGTCATCTCTTCAACACATTCATCAATGATATCGACAAGAAAACAATCCTTATCAACTGAAGGGAAATTACTGGCATTGAAAATATTTAAACACACCTTCATATTGCCAAAAGATAAATCCATGAAGCCATTCCTACAATTTATGCTTGCATTTGTTGTCGCAAGGAAAAGACAACCAAGGATCACTGGAATGTGCCTCATTGACTCTGGAACTGGCTCGGTATCAAGCACAATAAAGTCCATTGGGAAGTAGAATTTATCTACTTTGATGATCACATCTTCGATGACACCACGGGGTTGCTTGGTTGACCTATCTACCAATTGGAGAATAATTGAGGTAGGTTTCAATTCTCCTAATCCAAGTTGCAAGTAAACCGAATAAGGAAGAAAGTTTACATTTGCACCCAAATCTAAGAGAGCGCGCTTTACTTGATGATTCCCTATTGTGCATGAAATTATTGGAGCGCCTGGATCTTTGAATTTTGGAGCAGTGCAGTGCTAGATTATGGAACTGACTTGCTTAGTTAATAGCACCTTCTTAGGAACATGGCTATTTGAATGCCTTTTCTGAGTACACATATCTTTCAGAAATTTGGCGTAAGCTGGAATTTGCTAAATTGCATTAAGCAATGGGAGATTAATCTTCACCTGTTTGAACATCTCCATTATGTCCTGAAGTTCGGCTACTTGCTTTGCTGCATTTGATGTTTCTTATAAGCTCTGAGGGAATGGCACAACTACATACCTTTGCTCAAGAGATAGCTCGATAGTTGGTGGTACTTCTTGTGCTTTTACATTGCTTTCCTTCTTCTCTTCAAGTCTTTTCTTTCAATTTTCATCCTTCTTTGCTTCCTCTTCTTCCACCTTGTTTTCAACTCTCTTACCACTTCTTAGAGTAGTAATTGTTTACACTTGTTCATAATGGACTTCTTGGCCAATAATGTCATCAATTATACGCACACCTCTTGGATTAGCTACTGGTTAACTAGGAAGTTTGTCATCCTCTCTTCTATTCAAGGCTCGAGCTAGTTGGCCAACTTGAGTCTCTAACTTGGCAAGGGATTGAGAATGAGACTGCACAAGTTGATTAGTTGGATCTAATTGCTTTGTTATCATTGCCTCAAGCATTGATAAGAATTGTTGAGGTTAACTGAAGGCATTCATTGGAGTGAATCCAGGAGGATTTGAAGTCTAAACTTGAGATTGAAAATTGTCTTGCACCTGAGGTACTTGAGGTACTTGAGGTGGAGGAGCTGATGTCCCTTTGGTTAGATTTCTCTATGAGAAATTTGGATGGTTTCTCCAAGCCGGATTGTAAGTGTTTGAATACATATTATTCCTTCCGGGCGTTCCATAGGCAGCATTAACTTGCTCTTGTGAAATTCCTGAATATTGAGCTGCACTTGGACAAATTGACACATGGTGAGATGGACTAGAACAAAAAGAGCACACTTCAAAGCCTTGTGCATTAGTCGAAGGAGGAGTAAAATTTGACTGTGAAGTCATCAATTGATCTATCCTCTTGGTTAATGCCTCCATTTGGCTCACTAGCCCTTGATTTATTCCTGCTTCATTCACACTTTCTGCTCTCCTCAATATGGTATGAGGTCTTGTTACTGGAGGTAAGACATGTTGTGTAGAATTATAAGATTTATTTTCGAAGAGCTGTCATGCCTCCTCTACACTCTTCAACATAAAATTTCCACCATAAGAGACATCCACCATATATCTTTGTGCCTCATTGAGCCCCTTATGGAAGAAGTTGACAAGCTGCCATTTTGGCATGTCATGATAAGGACACTTCCGAAGGAGGTCTCAAAATCTTTCCCAAGTCTCATGAAAAGGCTCGTTAGGCCCTTGAGCAAAACAAGTAATAGCATTTCGATATTGAGTAGTTCTCACCATGGGGAAGTACTTGTTTAAAAACTTTTGTTACAATTCAGCCCATGTAGTGATAGAGTTCACTGACAATGAATTAAACCAATCCTTGGCCTTGTTCTTTAATGAAAAAGAGAAAAGGTGTAGCTTGAGCACATCATTGTCAAAGCTCTGGATCTTTATTGTTCTGCACACCTCTGCAAAGTCATCCAAGTACCGGTATGGATCCTCTTTTGATAGGCCGTAAAAAGAAGGCAGTAACTGAAGAGTACTGGCCTTAATTTTGTAATGAGGGGCCCTCACTTGAGGATACCGAACTGCAGATGAAGAGTTGTATACACCTGGTTCGTAGTGATCCTTTAAACAACGGACTGCTTCTGCAACTGGTGGATCATCCGCCATCTTTTCCTTTAAATCTTTTTTCAAGTTTTTGAGAGTCCTTTCGATTTCTGGGTCTAACGGAAGCTGAGGGAGTGACAAAGAACGTCTTCCAAGCATATAATGTCATCTAACAATAATTAAAAGAAAATAGTATCAAAATAAAGAAATAAATTAAATTAAAATCCTAAACTAAGATCCTAGTTGAAATTAATTGTAGAATTTAATATTATCTGTTAAGAATTAAAACAAATCCCCGGCAATGGCGCCAAAAACTTATTGTGACATTTATATGTACCACTCGCAAGTGCACGAATCTTTGCAGATAGGGCTTATTTGTAAAGGTGTCGTACCCAAGGAACTTGTGTAAAATAAGTTTGTCAACAAATTTCTTAAATTCCAAATTAACTTGAAACTAGGATAATCAGATTATGATGATTTATTCTAAATTAACTAAGTAGGAAAATAAAATAAACTAAAGAACAATGATTAAATAGGATATAGAAAATAGAGAGACAGGACTAGGGGTATGATTTCACCACTGACATTACACTACCAATCAATTGTATCGATTTATTGGAGATATATCATATAACATGCATAGGAAATAAATCATGGCTACAAGCACATATTTATTTAGCTAAAAAATTGGAGTTGAAGTGCTAAAGGACATTTGTGAGCTTTTTTTTACTCACTTGAGTCTAGGGTGTAGCATAATCTATTTTTTCTAGGCATAATCCATCAAATCTCTAACATTATATTCAGAAAAATACCATTGTGTAATCATCTCATTCACAACTACAAGAAATGAATGAGTTGTGTTCAATCACAACATTAAAATATCTAAGACAAAATAGAAAAATATTTGTAATTGAATTAAAACTTTAAAACCGATTCTTATTAAAAATTCAATTAAAAACCCTATAGATTACACAATCATGCATGAAAATATTTATTCTCCAATAATTAAATACAATCAAACCAGTGTGCTAAGCTAGAGATACATCACAACCCTAGCAAAGCGTTTAGCCAAGCATGACTAGAGTAGAATTCTTCATGGTTGAGGAAGACATCTTCACCGCCATAGATCGATCTCTTCTTTCTTTTGAATGCTCCCCTCTGATCTCAGCTTAGCTCCTCTGTATATATCCTTCAATGTTATAGAGGACTCCCTTTAAATAATAAAAGATCAGCCCTAAAGTTCCCTTTTTCATATAAAAAACATACATAAAAATTCTGTCAAATAAGGACTCCAAAATTCGTACAGACTTCTAGCCCAATTTATTATAGCATATTGATTTTCTTATTTAAAAATTCAAACAAGAAAATAATTACACAAATTCCAAAGATTATGACTTATTCTGATTATGATTAAGATATTAGAGCTTTACCATTTAGCGTTGTTCTGATGTGAATGATTGTCATAAGCTCAAGGGCCACTAGCAGGTTAAAGAAAGTAAATGTGATACCAAATTCCTTAGTATTGGGTTTTTAATGTGTGTTTTCGTACTCAAGTTGGTGTAAGGTGGATAATAGATTGGAAAACCCTCCACTAAGAAAAATGACTAGAATGCATCACATGGTATGTTGTATATGTATCAGGAATGTTCGCTGTTATCTTTTATTATTTTTGTATAGAATCAAGATTAATTTTTTTTATTTTTTATTTTAAGCCTGAAGAAATAACTGTTATAATGAATGATTTTTTTGAACCTGGGTCGCTTGCACCAACTGGCTTATACTTTGGTGGCTCAAAGTATATGGTGATCCAAGGTGAACCAGAGGGTATTCATAAGTTTTATTTGCCTTCATCAACAGAGATAGGTTGACATGCCCTTCACAATTTTTAAGAAAAATGATTTTAACATCACAATGGTTGAATCTCAATCCCAGTTTATTTTCATCACATAAAAACTGCCCCAACAAAAACCAATCAACAATGCCCATTCTCCATCAACAACACAACAAATATAACAAACAAATTCAAATTCAATTCGGCCCCAACCACCATTCAAAATACACTACTTAATTTTTTAGAAAATTCAAGGACTAGCCCTTCACAGGTTTTTCAAAGAAAAATGCAGCTTCATAGTGTATTGCATTCACAACCCAAGTAAAACTGCCCCTACTCCATTCAACAATTCCCAAACTTGAATTACAGAGTTTCAGCCCAATCCCCTTTTTAATTTAAAATCACAGTCCAACAATCAAGTCCCATTGTTCAATTTCAGTCCAACATTTTCTTTTTAGATTTCAATTTTTCAGTTTTTCAATTTTTTCAATTTTTTAGAATATCAACTCAACAAATATTCATATATATACTGAAAATGAAAAACAAAAATGAAAATAAAAATAAAAGATAAAAGATGCAGATTGACATACCGAGAGAAGAATCAGAGAGAAAGGAGATGGAATTCGACGGAAAACGCAGAGGCTATGGCGCTTGATTAGACAAAAAATGTAGATACGGTTTGATTAGACACCAAAGTGTCCTTCGAATGGGAGGTTGGAGTTCGGGCTTCGAATGAGAGAGGAAGCTAGGGTTAGGGCTTGGAGAAAGGGCAAATCCTCTGGTTTTGGATTCTCATTCGGTTTATCCTCTTTTTTGGCTTCCTCTGTCGGCTTTTCATCTTATTACTTCTCTTCCGGTTCTTTCTTTTCATCTCCTTGCTCTGCTTTCTTATCTTCTTCCTTCTCCGGTGACTTCTCCTCGGCAACAGGCGGCGGTGGAGCTTCCTCCTGCGTTGCTGCCTCCGTATACATTGATTTAAAGAATTTAAGAGGCCATAGACTCTGAATCGTGAACCAGATCGAGAGAGGGGTGGCCGGCTTTTGAGATATATGTTTGTGTTCTGTAAATGTGTTGTATGTGTGTGGTTTCTGTACATGTGAGCAGTATATATATTTTACACAAATATATATATATATATATATATATATATATATATTGACACTAGCGGGAGTAAGACCCGCCAAAAGGTAAGTGTAAAAATTTCACTTTCTACCATGGTTTTAAAATAACACTGTAGAAAGAGCCATCTAAATTGCATGAAAAATAATTCTTTTTCTACCATAGTTATAAAATAACCGTGATAGAAAGACCTGTCTAAATTACATTAAAAATTATTCACTTTCTACCACGGTTATTTTATAACCATGATAAAAGAATATACTTGCTACGACGGTTATTTTAAAACCGTGGTAAAAGAATATTATTATTTTAAAACCGTGATAGAAAGACTAGCCTAAATTACATTTAAAAAAAAAAAAAAAAAACCCATTCAGGAAAAAAAAAATAAATTACATTAAAAATTAATTCACTCTCTACCATGCGGTAAAAGAATATACTTTCTACTATGATTATTTTAAAATTGTGGTAAAAGAATATACTTTCTGCCACGATTGTTCATTAACCGTGGTAGAAAGGGTCTTCTACCATGAATGGTAAAAAAGTGTGATAAAAATCTGTTTTTCTTGCAATGTCTCTCAACCAGTATTCTCTCTCTATATTCTCACGAAACTCTATTATCATTGTTAGATCACCGCCGTTGTCGTCGTCAACCATGGCGTCGTGAACTTGTTACCGTGAGCCATACCATCGTGGTTGTCGTCAACCATGGTGCCTTGAATTAGTCGCCGTGAATCACGTGGTTGGCAAACAGCTGCTGCCATGAACACATTATTGCCGACGTTTTCTAACCCAAAGAGAAAATGGTAAAATAAAGGGAAACAACCAAGAAAATTGATGAAAAATATCAACAATTTGGGATTTGAATTTTGAATTTTCCTGTGGGTGTGCAAGGGATGTGAAGGAACATGTGATTATGGGGTTTCGGATTAGGGATTTGAGAGATACTGTATATATATATGTGTGTGTGTGTGTGTGAATTGGGTTTGATTTATTGTTCCTCTTGGTTCAATTAGGTTCGTCGTGGGTCAAACTGGGTGGTGATTATGGTGGTAGAAGTGGTGCTGGTGATATATATATATATCACCAGCACCACTACTACCACCATAATCACATATGTATATATATGTACAAAGATCGAACTGATCTGGTGACGGCTTCCTCCATCAAAAAGGTGAAAGCCCAGAAGTTTCTAAAGCGAACAAATCGAAGATTCAGATTCGGCTGCTGTTTGGCGGTTGGCTTCTTAGTCTCGGCAAAGTCATCTTTCCATTGATGTTCTTGGAGACAAAAACTCAGTAGTTCGCCGGCGTAAGGGATCCCAGTGAGGTTGTGGTAATTAAGGGGTTGTTTGAGGGTGTGGTAGAGGAGGAGGGAGGTGGAGGGACGCGGTGGCACACGGTAAACTCTGCAGTGGCAAAGGAGAAATTCTGTGTTGATTTGATTTTTTCTTAAATGGAAAGAAAATTAAAGAAAAAATTAAAAAGAAAATTATCAATCTTATAGTTATGCTAGTTTGCTGTTGTTTTTGTTTTTAAAAATAATAATAATAAAAAATTTAAAATTAAGCTCAGCAAAGCGGTTGCATTAGATACAGTTTATTTTTGCATCTTTGTTTAGTAAATAAAAATAGAAAATAAAATAATAAAAAAAAAGTAAAAATTTGTTCTTTATATCTTTGCGACTATCACCTACTATTTTTAATTTATTGCAATTAAAAATTTAAGATGATTTATCCTATATATTCTCTAATTATTTATGCCCATTAATTGATTATCCAGATAATTTAATTTTTTTTCAAATATTATATTTTTTTCTTTTATTCTCTATTAATACCCCAAAATAGAAAATGAAAAATAAAAATAAAAATAAAAATAAAAATAAAAATAAAAAAAATTGTTCTTAATATCCTTGTGACTCTCACGGTCACACCTGCTATTTTTAATTTATTGCAATTAAAAATTTGAGATGATTTATCCTATATATTCTCCAATTATTTATGCATCTTAATTGTTTATTCAGATAATTTAATTATTTCCAAATATTATACTTTTCCCTTTTTCCAAAATTTCTAACTAGCTACACAGATTCGTGAGGAAAGTTATCAAGGGAGGGAATAGATTAGTTGCAAATGGGTTTGATATAAAGTTCGGATGCAAAAACTTTTTTTTGTAGGGGAGGGGTATAATCGTCATATTGAAGGATAATTTTGAAATTAGATAAAAAAAAGTCTGAATCACGTGCATCACCATATCACTGGAAAGAGGATTCCGGCTTTTGTAGGGGGCAAATTGCTCTATTTCAGAATTACTATGACTAAGTTGCTCATTTTTTCACTTCAGGAGGATATTTTACTCGATGGAGTAAACCTCAGGGGAGTAATTTGCACGATTGCCTAATTTATAAACAAACAAACGCATCGCATGCATGTTGTGTTTGTTATCTGAGATAAATAAATAAATTAATAAATAAAAACTGTTGAATCTGATCATTTAAATAACTAAACTTAGTTATGGGATGGCTAATGTCTTTTTAAGCTCTCGCGTTTACGTGGACTTTATAGGCCAACTACTCCCATGAGCTACTACTTTGACGGATTGAATTAAAATTTCATTAAAAATTTTAGAGTGCTGTAATCTCGAGATGTTAAAAAATTTCTCATTAAAACAAGTTAATCATTAAGACAAGTCATTTGTCACATCTTTATCGCTCTCTTTCTCTCTCTAAATCATAGATATAAGACCCATATCAACATATCATTTCAGATTGTTCAAAAAATCAAAACCCATATCTTTTAGTTTCCATCACCCGCTGTTCCAATTCAGGTTCGTTGTTCGCAAGCTTCGGCCACTGTCACTCAACTCTCAAGCTTGCCCCTCTCTCTCTCTACAACTGCTAACTTATGGCTGCGGCGGCAGCAGAAGGCGAGGGACGACGGCGGCTGAGGGCGATTGACAGTTGTGGCGGCGGTGGCAGTAGAGGGGACGGCGACAGAGAGATAGAGAGAAAGAGAAAGAGAAAGAGGAAAGGAGAGAGAAATGAGAAAAAAATATATATATTTATTACGGGTTTCAGATTGGGTTCGGGTTGAGCCCGAGCCTAACCCAACCATGTTTGGGTTTTGACAAAGCACAACCCGAACATGAGCCCGATTTATGAATTTTAAGCCCAAATTTCAAAATTTCTGGGTTGGGGTTGGATTGGGCTGGGTTAGCCCGCCCAAGTGCAGCCCTATGTGGCAATGGTGGGTGTGGCATTGTGGGTGTGGCTGTGGCACGATGGCATGTGGTTGCAGCGGTGGGTGCGGTAGAGTGTGGCAATGGGTGTGGTTGTGGCAGAGTGTAGCAGTGGTGGGTGTAAAGGTTTACAGGGTTAGGGTTATTTTTGTCAATTAACAGGTTCAGGGGTAAATACAACTTTTGAAATCTCAGAGGGTGTCAATGTAAATTAGTGTGTTGACAGTCTACTGAGTGATATTGACTCAAACCTCAGGAGGTGTGAGTGCAATTTACCCTAAAGTTTATATATGTATATATTTTACCATTAAAGTTTAACAAAATAAATTTTTAATAATTGAAGGCTAAAAAAGGTACTTTAGTAGTTTTTAATTTTCTCCCTCTTATCTTACGCACAATTTTGGACCGATGAAAAAACATGAGTCAAGAGAAATGCTTCATTCCTCTTTTCTTCCTCACTTTCTTTTCTTTCTTCCAACAAAGGATGGAAATTATTAAAAATAACCATTTATGTATTATAAATATTAAATTATAAAATTGAATAAATTCAGAATAAAAACAATTACAAAATATAATTTTTTCCTGGGCAATCATAAAATATAATTTATTAAAATATTGTTAACATTTATATATTATTTAATTAATTTTTTTCCAAGCATTATTTATTTTAATCAGTCTCACCCTTTTCAATTAAAATTATGTAAATTTAGACTCTTATATATATATATATATATATATATATAAAGTCTGTCAAGTTAGAATGAAAATTGTTCTATAAAAAATTATATTAAAAGTATTTTGTTGAAAAATGACAATACTAGAAAAAAATAGGGTTGGTTTGTTATTGCAATTGAAAAGTGGGATTAATAAGTAATTTTTGATAGTTTTTTTCTTTGCTTCAGACCATCACTTTGGTATAACTTTGCAAATCAAAGTACATTTTGGGCAAAACCCTAGCTTTTTTCAAACTGATCGTTAAGCGGTTCTGAACTAGTACTACAGAGAGCTTTTCATGGAAGGCTCGCAGCAAACGCGTTATTCAGTAAGATTCACTCTTTTGATACCAATTATCACTCGAAACTGTTAAAATGTCCGTTGTATGTTTATATATACATACACATATATATAGATGATATATATATATATATATATATATATATATATATATATATATAATGCTGTATTCCTTACACTCTCTTTGATCATATATGCATGTATACATATCTGAGAGTTTCGCATCATCTGTGCTTGGAATATACTTTGCAATTTATAATTTTTGAACAATGGGCTTAAAATTGTAGTCCAAATTGGTTAAATCTATAAATGTTTCAATGGCCATTTCCAAATCATTTGAAAATAACTATAGGGTTCAAGGAGATAATATTACCATTAAACTGAAATTTGGGTGGGGGGGGGGGGGGGGGGGGTCAAACTTGTAACTAATAAGGACAATATTGAAATGAAAGTCATCCTAGTTATGTCGGGTGGGGGTTGACCTTTGTTCGTTAGTTAGGAGGTGTTCTTGTTGGGTTTTTATCTAAGAAGCATAGACATTGACACAGGACACGGGCACGATACGACACTGGTATGCTGACACGTCAAATTCTAAAAAAGTAGGACACGGACATGGACATGGACACGGCGTTGACACGGCTAATATAAATATGAATATTCATTTATATATTTATTGATTAATATAGTTATTGAACTTTAATTAATTTATAGTTTCTATACTAAAGTTACATAAATTTAAAGATGAAGCTTTTTAAATACTGTGTTGGATGACATGACACCTTCCTAGAAGTGTCTGTGCTTCTTATGTTTTTATTATCAAAAGTAGAATGGTTCAAGTTTTGGTTAGATTGAGTGCTATATATGTTAATCCGTATTAATCGCCCCATGTTCTAAATTTTCATCCAATTACTCAAGTTTCCATAACTTATTTTTGAATGAATCTTAGTGTCGAGCCCAAAAAGAAAAGAAAAGAAATTATTAAATGTCCTTGTGCAACGATGTAGCTCATCAATGCAATGCCAGACCATGGCATATGTTCCCGCCTTATCAATCAACATTTGACTTGTACTTCACATCATGGTTCAACTCCTTGAATTTTTATCTTTTGTCTTGGCACTGATTCATCTCATTCGTGACACTCAGAAAATTATAAATCATAGGAAATGATGTTGGTGCTCCAAGATAAAGCAAGGCACTCCAAGTGAGAGTGATCAATATGAATTAAGTTAAGATGACCTCAGTACAAGATGGCTGTGGGTGCCTGAAGCATTTTCTGGAGTCTCAATATCATCTTCTTAAATCATATAGTATAACATTTAAAAAGGGAAATAAAATAGTGTGTGATTTATAGTAAAAGCTAGCTACATCCATCATTGTGCTAGATTGTCAATCCTACTTCACAGGTTTCATTAGTAAATGCCAAGATTGTTGCAGAAAGTTTAAAAACCTAAAGCCAAAAATCCTAGATTTGACAAAAATAACTAAACGTATGGTAGAGAATAGTGGAAATCCAACATTCTCTTAGATGCCCAAACATTCAATTAGAAATTCAAATCCATATCGTGTGACAGTTCTATTTCAATTTTGGTGACCAAAAAAAAAAAAGTTCAAATTTATGTGGAAACTTGCTAATACCATTAAAAGGTTTAAGTTCAGTTGTATTTTTCCATGTGTCAATCGACTAGGTTATTCTTTTCGTTTTGAAAAGAAATGAGAGATAAGAAATATCTATTTTGCTACGATCAAATGGAACAATCTTGAATAATAAACCAAGATCAATTTCAGGTCATTTCTGAAAGAACATGATCTGCCATATCCCCTCCAGCTCTGATTTTCCTCCGGGGGTTGTTAGGGCTGTCTTGCATAAACTCCTCCATAGTTCTCCGACTAAGGGGAGACAAGGTGGCCCACTACCACTCTCTTTCTTCCTAGGAAGCATGGATACCGTTACAATTTTGGTGATGTTGCTAGCCACTATATTTTTATGTAGCAGTGGCAAATCATTTATGCACCCTTAAATCAATTGTTTTTTTTTTGAGAGACAGAGAGACAGAGAGAGAGAGAGAGAAGGGGGGGGGGGGGGGGGGGGGGGGGGGGGTGTTGTTTCCAAAAAGGTCTCAATACAATGAATTCTAAAACATAAGGTTATAAACTCAAGTAGTCATAATTATTACTTGTTGGCAGTGTAACTCATTTCTCCAAATTGAGGTAACTCTTGATATGTTAATCATTCTTTTCCCCTCCATTGTGATGCTTTTCTTGCTAGTTTTGGAGGAAAGTATTTTCTTTTTTTTTTTAACGTACAATTCTAGGATCTATTAATACTAAATGCATATCCAACATGATGAATCATGGCCTAGCTCTACAGAACCTTTTTTAATTATTAACCATAATCTCTCCAATTATGTTTCTTGCCGCAAATCTGAAAGAAAAATAAAAAAAAAATTCAAGGGTTACAAGTGGGAAAAACTGTCAACAAGATGTGTCATTTGCTGCTTCCCTCAGTGTTATCTGATAATTACTTGGATGCTTGAGATTTAGAAGCATGAAATCTAAGAGAAATCCTTGTTGGCATCTTGCTTAAGGACAAGGCCCTTTAGGCTCCATCATCATATTTCTCACATACACTGTGTTTGTGTTGTTGCCATGATATTTAACTTATATTTCACGATATGCCTTCTCCAGTATTTTGGAAAAAGAATGGCAAATTGGCTTTAAGAAACCAGTGTTTTGGTTAGAGACAGATGGGAGACAATTACATGATTGAATAATTTTAGAAGATATTACAAAGGTGTCGTATGTAAACAAAGTAACTACCATATCATGGTTTCTCATCTTTATTTATACTCAGAATGTGTTGTGTTTCTCTACTTAACAATAATAGTTGTAATAATATACTCCCTCCGTCCCATAATAGTTGTCCATCTTTCCTTTTTGGGTTGTCCCAAAATACTTGTCCACTTTCCAAGTTTAAACAACATATTTCACATCTTTCCATAAAATACCCAAAAAATTTTAAAAAAATTCAAACTTGATTGTTTATATATTTAAACTTGAAAGGGTATCTTTGTAATTTTCAAAGGGGACAATGCAATATTTACATGTCCCCCTAAAAAGTTCTACTCCCCAAAAGGGACATCTATTATGGGACGGAGGGAGTATTATGCAATTTGAGGAAATTACATTCCGTGGATGTGTTTTATTTATTTATCTGTGTTATTAATTTTTTTTTTTTTTAATTAATTTATATCTTTGGAGGTTATTGTTTGGTGCAATGGTCATCCTCAAGTTGACAAACGAGACCTAAGAAGCATGGACACAGACATGATGCAACCTAGATACGTCAACACTTCAAATTTTTTAAAAGTAGGACATGGACACAGTTTGGACATGGCTAATAAAAATATAAATTTGCATTTATCTATCCATTGAGTAAGACAATTTATTATAATTTCTATACTAAGTTACATAAGTTACGAGATGAAATTATTCGAATATCAAATATAACATGTTATATTAATATATTATAGTGTGCTCTTATAATATGTTTTTTTTGGTTACATAGTGTGACATGCAATTTGAGAAAATTACATTCCGTGCAATGTTAATTTTTTAAAGAAAAAAAGGTTGGACACTTTGATGTATGTTCATAATTGTTTCCAGGACTATCATGGATAGGATGTCCTAGGTGTGTTGGCCAAGTGTGCCAGATGTGTTGGCCAAGTATCCGAAATAATAATAAAAAAAAATTTAAATTATGAACACAACGATGAAGTGTCAGTGACATGTGTAGGAATGTCCATGAAGTGCCAGTGTCCGACACAGATATGACACCTTCATAGAAGTGTCCGTGCTTCTTAGAATGTAAGGATGTGGGCTCAAGTCTTAAGAAAAGCCACTTTGTTCAAAATAATATCAAAGGTTCGATTTATTGTCCTCCAAACATTTTGCATTGGTGGAACATATGCTTGGAAATATCATATTCATTTATTTATTTTTATATTTAGACAAGGCTTGACAGCATGGACACCACTCTTCACTTCAGCACCCACTCTGCTTCTCCAGGGATGGAGTTAGGAATTCTGTTTAGGGGGCCACAATGTAATAAAGAAAAAATTGAGGGGGCAGTTTTAAAATTTTAAAAATTTATACATACAAAACTGAAATTTTTTAAAAGTTTAGAAGAGGAGGGGGGACACATGCCCTCCGGGCCTTAATTGACTCCGTCCACATGCTCCTCCATAGAAGGCAAGATTTGAAATAGGTAAAAGGTAATATATTAGGTTTCTAAGAACACTGTTTGGTAGGACGGAAGGAAGAGGGAGGGAGTAAGTGTCGACTGTTTGGTAAAAGGGAGAGTTAGATGGATGAGACATCTCTCATGGAATGTTTAAGCTCTTGCGGATGGTTAAAGATACAAAGAATAGGAGATAAAATCCACGTTTACAAAAACCCCCCAAAGTAATCTATAGCACACTATATAAAGGATTTCAGATCATACTGTGATTGTCTGAGTGACTAACGGTTAAAGACAGAGAATTGGAGATAAAGTTCACGTTTACCAAGACGTCCAAAGTAATCTAGAGAGCACAATATAAGGGTTGTCATATGATTGTCAATTGTTAGATCAAACTATGATTACTTGAGTGATATAAAGTATATAATTTATTTAAGTGGAAGAAAGTTATTTATTAGGTTTCAGAGAATACACTCTGTTTGGTAGGAGGGAAAGAAACGGGAGGGAGGGAGCAAGTCTCGGTTGTTTGGTAAAAGGGTGAGTTGGATGGATGGGGGTTCATGGGTCATCATTTTCTTTCCTCAAAATTAGATGGAAGAGAGGAGGATGGGAAAAATAAATATGGTATATTATTTAAAGTGACACTATTACCCTTCATCAATTTTTCGCAAAATTATATAATGAGGGCATGGTGTTAAAAATAATATAAATTCCCTTTCCTCTTAAAAACAATTGAAGGTGTCACCTCGTTATACACCATTCCACTCAACCAAACAAAAATGGGGAATGACACATTCCGTTCCCTAGGGATGCCTTGTCCATCCTTTTGTTTTTTTGTGTTTTGGTGGGGTGTGTGTGTGTGTTGTGGTGGGGGGAGTAAAAAAATTGGCAAGTAAAGAAAAATGAAAACAAAGTTAACAAAGTCTTGTCCATCCTTCATATCCACTTTTTCATCCTTTGTGTGATTCAAGGACGATAAGAATCAGGTCTCATTAAATTGGACCCGCCTATCGCGATCATGTCAAACATTGATTGCAAAGATATCCTAAGTGCTTATTTTTGCATGTCAAACACCTAAATTAAAAGAAAATTACAACATGCAAATGTAATATGACATTACTTTACGCCCTGTTTGACAGCTCTAACTTTGATATGTGTATTTATTACTAGAAACATGGACTATCCACGCATAATATATAAATGCATATAATGGTAATGGTTACTCGAAGAGGCTCTACACCTAAAGTCAACATATGAAGAGGACTATCTGTAGCTGTTTAATGAATTAGTAGTTTTACTCAACCCTTATATCGTACTCTCTAAATTACTTTGGGTCTTGGTAAACGTGGACCTTATCTCCTATTCTCTCTAACTTTAAACCGTCAATCACTCAAGTAATCACAATATGATCTGACGGTTGATAATCATCTGACAACTCTTTTATTGTGTGCTCTAGATTACTTGGGGGTCTCTGAAATCGTGGACCTTATCTACTATTCTTTGTATCTTTAACTGTCCCCAAGAGCTTAAACATGCCAACCAAATATATTTAATATTCATAACGTTCATACATGTACACTAGAGGGTAGTCAGATTTCTCAGGATCTAGTGGACAAATATGGTATTATGCACCTACCAAAAATAAATAAAAATTGAAGTTTATATATGGAAAGAAATGGAGCTGCTTAGCCTTTAAATTGGGGCTATTCTTCTTAAACGTTTCACCAAATCAGGAAAACTAGTTTTATATTTCTCTTCAATAATTTTGCAATGGTGAGGCCCGTGAGGAAGAAGAGCTTGGGTCGCAGAAAGATCCAAATGAAGATGATTCCAGAAAAAGATGCTCGCCAAGTTGCCTTCTCAAAGCGCCGATCTGGCCTCTTCAAGAAGGCCAATGAGCTTTGTACCTTGACAGATTGTGAGGTTGCTGTCATTGTCTTTTCACCAGGTGGGAAGGCCTTCTCATTTGGCCACCCTTGTGTGGACACAATAATGAAAAGGTTCCTTGGCGAAAGCCCCATGCCGATTGCTGATAAGCCGGAGCCCTATTTGTCTGCAACTTCTGAAATTAACCAGTATTTCAGTGACTTGAGTGAAGAAGTAGTAGCGGTGAAGAAACGAGGAGAGAATCTGAAGGAGATCGAGATGGAGAGCAACAATTTTGGCTGGTTGGAAGTACCAATTGATGACCTTGGCATGGCTGAGTTGGTGAAATCCAGGGTGCTTATGGAAGAACTTAGGAACAAAATAGCCAAGCGAGTTGAGGAGCTTTCCATTGAGGGTTCTGTCCCAACACCATCTCCATCTGGGAACTCCATTGGAGCTATCGATCTGAATGTTCCTAACCCAGATGAGATGAATGATTCTGTTCATTTTTGGCTGTAGTGAACCAGTCAGTTGGAGAAGGGTCTGTCTTAGCTGTGGTTTTCTGTGGATGTGCGTTTTATTTTATAAAATAAATAATTAATTAATTATATGAGTAGCTACCTGGTCTGTATGTTGTCTCTCTTTGGCTTGGACTGCTGATTAGTAATATCCATGTGTTCTCGTTTTAATGCTTTCAGTTACAGATTAAATAAAATAAACTCTTATCGGTGATTTGATTAGACAGTGGAATGTTCAATTATATATTTCATTGTTTTTGCATCCTTCAAATATTCAATTGCCATTTTTTTTTTTTTTTTTTTTTGTGATTTGGGAAGGAGTCCTTTAGAAATCGTATTCTATTTAAAGATCAAGGCACCTTTGCACTGGTTAAAATTTAGAAAATCTATCGACTGTGCTATGGGAATTGAGTGAATTGACGAATTCGATGGAGTGAAAACTCACATCTTTCAAGGAATATAAGTGCAATCAAACATATTTTAGAAAGAGGGTGGGGGCAAATCCAAATTTAAATTGGTTGTCTGGATATTGAAACTTGAGGAAAACTGTGGCACTTTGTTCCTTTATTAAACTATTTAGTTGATTATGTTCCATGATTGCCTCCTTTAGGGAAATAGTTTGATGAACATACTTCTTTCTTCTTGTTATGCAAATGCATTGAATTAAGTGTACTGACAGTTCAATAATCATGGTACACTTTCAATCTTCTCTTCTTCTTTTTCTTTTTTTTCTTTTCCCCGGTAAGGAACTTTAAATTGTCCATGTTATTTGACGATGAAGAATTTTCAGTCTATAATTAGTGGATGCATGATTCCTCTCTGTCTCTAAACTAAATCAGAGTGTTTGAAAATGTTAAGAAAAAGAAGATCACATCTCAACAACTAGTATTGTTAGGTTTTTCTAAAGCACAGAGATTTAGTTTTGTGGTCATTTTATATTGTAGCAACTAGCAAAAACTTCATTATAAATGGCCAATTTTTGCCATAAAGCATTTGGTCAATTATCGGTTTTTTTTTTTTTTTTTTTTTTTTTTGCAGTTAACCTATCTGCTACAACTTGCATCTTAAGATACCTCGTGTTTCTGAATTATTTCTTGTAAGATTTTCCCTTTATGACTGGAGTATTTAGCTATCTAATTTTCCATGATATGGAAAAGAAAGAATTGTGGGTGTTGATTTAATCCTCAATCATACCTTCTTAGATCACTCTGGTCATATGATCCATACAATATACCCGAAACCAATTGTCAATGCTCTATAGGTTGTCTCTGGCATGCCAGTGGTGTTGGAAATGCATTGGTAGAGCCTACTATGGTGTTTGAAATGTATTGTTAGAGCCTATACGACAGTATAATTTATAAACTTAGGTAAAAAATCTCTTTATGTTCTTTGATTTAGTGTTCCATGGTTTACTTCTGACTTAGCAATTTACTTGGTGAATGGAAGTGGAGGTGGTTGTTTTATACCAACTGTTCAAGCCAACATGAAACATCCTATGAAGATTGCTCGTTGAGTCAAGATTCAAGAATATTGTATTTATACTGCAGTAGTGCTCTTGGCTCCAACTGTGGCTGGTCTGCCTTGCACAGCGCCTCCTGATTCCTCTGTCCACATGAAGAGATGCCCTTGAAGCTCAGTCTTCTGTGAGATACTTTGAGCTATGTTTATCTATCTTTAAGACAGTTGTGCCCCTGTGAGGGGATCAAACAATTAGGTAGTTGTTTGGCAGCCAAGAATGAATATCTATGGCAGTGAATACCTATACAGTACATCCTAAATGTCACTAAACTTGGCATGGACACTACCACAGACAATACATGGATTGAGCAAATGCAGTGAGCAATCTTCGACAGCATCTTGAAGGTTTTCACGCACGGTAAGGACATAAACCTTGGCTTTGATTGAGATTAATGTAATGTCACACCACCATGTACGCAAACTGTTGTGCGAGGAGGTAAAATATTAAAGCTGACATCTCTTACTGCTATGGCTTTCCCTTTCTGTACAAGTGTATTCAGCCTTCAATGTTATTGCCAATCAGGCAGGCTTCTCTGCTTATCCACGGTTTCGAGTATGTCCTGAGCAGCTGAACCTTTAGAAGGATAGCGTCCTCTCAGTTTACCCGGCCTTTACGAATTACTTTCGAACTTATTGTAAGATTATGATTTTATTTCGATTTATTTATCAATTGCTAGTGCTGTTTACACAATGTACTGGGAAGGGAAGACAGATTTTAATGTTTGCTCCCTTTTTGGCACAATTTGGCTGCAGTTATCTTCAATTATGTGAATTTCAAGTTCATTTACATTAGCTGGTGCTTTTCTTTTACAAAGCATTGCAGTGTAGTGGAACTATAATATGCTCCATTTTGACTTGTGCATTTTCTCTTGTTTTCTGTCAGTGTTCAATATCATTACAGCAGTGTTGCACTGCATTTGACAGTTCACAATTCTCATAGGTGTGAGCATGCGTGAGATTTGTGACCGTCAGAAATGCAGCACAACCACTTGTATTATGCTACAGAGGATCCGGATTCATTCTTTTAAAAAATTGACCTTTTGTTATTGAGTAACTAGTTGTTGATGTGGTACTGGTACCAAAGTCTTTTTACTGCTGGTTTGATTTTGTAGTTTATGCTCAAGTAGTAAAGTGTAGGATATGAAAGTAAATTGGATTTAACTTGAGATCCAATATGATTTGAGTCATAATTTTACCGAGTTTTGGACTTCAATTTTTAATCTGAATTTTAAAAATAAATAAATAAATGAAGTGGAATATTGCTGTTCTTGTAAAATATCTTCATTTAGGAGTTGGAGTCAAATTGAAGAACTTGTTTGGATTTTTTATATCCTTTTAATTATCAATTGAAATTCCAAAAGCATAATTAACAAAAGGCCTGGCTGATGTTGAACTAGGAAATATAATTTACATGTCTTCTTCTTAATCTTTCCTTTATCTTTTTTCTTAAAAAGTCTTCCTGTGTAATTGAAATATTAGTTTAATTTTTTTTAAACCATGCAATTATTAATTAGAATTCTAAATGTGTCCTTATTAAAGGACTATTCATTGGAAATATGAAAAATATATTATATTGAAGTAACTTTTTGTTTTTTGTTATTCAATTTTGAATTTACTTCATCTAATAAGAATCCTGTGTTACGTGGTGTGACATGGTTTTTTTATGGGCTTCTTGGATGGGCCTGCTTGAGCCCAATCCAATCTTCTAACAATTTGAACATTTTTTTTCTTTTAAGTTTAGGTTAAAATTTTCTCTACTGCAAATGATTTCTTTTAAATAAAAATCTTGAGAATAAATTTGAGGAAGACTCAGCCACGTCGAAAATTGAATTAAATTTGAACTTATACCTAGAATTTTGTAGGTTGAGTTCAGATTGAACTATTACTCGTTAATCAATTTCATCGATTATTTTATACAATTGCATGAATTACGTTTCTAACTTCACATAACATGGTTAGAGGTGGACAAGATTTAATTTAGTTTGGCTCAGTTTTGAAATGAATCACAACCAACTCCGTTGTAATAGTTCCAAAAATATTATAATTAAATCTAACAATTAAAACTAATGAAATCAAAGACAAATGATCTATTCAGTCGATTTTAATGCTTTGTTTGATAAAAAGGAGTAAAATTTGATGAAAAAGAATGTTAAAAGAATAGTTTATTTTGACTTTAAATAAAAATTAAATTGTTATCAATTGTCATCTTTAATTTTTAAATAATAATTTAGACATCGAATTCTATAATTATCAAATTTATAAGTAGAAAAAGGAAAGAAAAAAAGAAAAAAAAAAAATTCCGGCCCAGCAAATCAACTCTTCACTGTTTCGCACGAGTCAAGCGTGCCAATAAAAGTTCATCTCTCACTTCCGATTAGACAGAGACGAGAGAGAGAGCGCAGAGAACGAAATGGCGACGGCGATGGTGAGATCTATGTTTCGAACGACCCTCCGTGGAGGCTCACGGACTCCTACCTCCAAAAGGACCTTCTCTTCTTCCTCTGGCCATCACGACGACGCCTGTATGAACCATCTCTCTCTCCTCCTGTATATCTATATGCGTATTTATATATATATATATATATATATATATATATATATATATATATATCTTGATACAAGTCTTTGAAACTTGAACTACATGTTATCAATCTGATTTCACTCGTCTATATCATTAGATGAATTGAATATGTATTCTAGGGTTTTCATTTCCTTACATCGCTGAAGCTTTGACTGGATGTGTTTGCTTGACTTATCTCTCTTTCACACTTATTTTTATTTTCAATTATTTTTGATAGATGGCTTGATCTGTATGTTGTGATTCGTTACACGATTTGGATTGATTAGTTTTTGTTTTTCTGGTCAGATGAAACGGCGAAATGGGAAAAGATTACTTATGCTGGCATTATAGGTTGCTCTATTTTTGCCTTCTATAACCTCTCAAAGGGCCATCCCCATCATGAAGAGCCTCCTGTAAGCTTTCATTATGGTACATTAGCTATATATTTACCTTATGTACAGAAGCCTTACCAAATGCCCAATTATTAATCATAATGCATGAAACCATTGATGTTTTTATTACCGATTTTCCATCAAAGTAGGCTGTAGCTAATTCTGTATTATGTTTAACATTCTCAGGAAAATGTGATTTTTTTTTTTTTTCTTCATTTTGTGTTGATCGTAGTTCATAATTTTCATTGCAGGCGTACCAATATATGCACATTCGCAACAAGGAGTTTCCATGGGGTATGTTCTTGTACATTATTGTGGCCTTGGGTTAGATTATTTTTTATCTCATTGTTTTTTGTTTTTTTTTTCTTCATGTCATTGTATTCTGGTTGTAATGTCTATTAGCTGGCAACTTCTATAGACTGACTGCCTTATGAGTTTTAATGCATCATTTGGTTTGTACTATTTAGGCATATTGCTAAACAAGACAAGAATTTAGAGTAATCTTACTATGTGACATATGTCTCAACTGGAATGCTATAACTTCTATACTGTTTGATATAACTTTTTGGCCGATATATTATTAAACCGTTTTTTTTTTTTTTTTTTTTTTTTTTTTTTTATAGGTGTGTGATTCTTGCTCTTTTTCATGTTCTCCTTTAACATACCTGTAAGATTGATCTTTTAGGTGACAGTAATTTCTAGTGCTGTGATTTCATTTTCCATTTGAAATCTGTAAGTTTTCAGTTCATGTTTTAGTTTGAGTGATAGTTAGAAGTAAATGCCATGGACCTATGGTAGGATGTGTGATGTCAGATGTGATGTCAGCTTCTTGGCAAAGTTACAAATTTTGTTGCAATAATTGATTCTTAACTAGTTCAATTTGCAATTTGTCAGTAATATTTCCAGAAAGCTAGTGGTAAACTTACACTATCGTTTATTAGAATGAGGAACTGGAAGAAGAAAGAAGAGAGAAGCGAGGGTGCGTGTGAAAGGTGATAGGGGAGATACCCTGGATGAGGTTTCTCTTCTTCAGTACGCTCATAGGATTTCCGTTTCTTTGATAGGGGCTATATCTATATACAAAAGGAGCCTACAAAGTTGTTAATTTTTGCCCGAAAGGTAACTAAATCACTTGACGATATCATCTCCTTCCATCTTTGTATATAATCAATTGCCTAAGATCAATTACCGAAACCATGAACTCAAGTTCTAGACTACTGTAATCAGTCATCATAAGCCAGCTTTACATACAAGGCTATTTGTAATCATCAGGATTGGAACTATGCTTGTCACCCTTTAATGTGGCTTTATTCCTTTTGTTTTGCTAAACGTATGCTGGAGGAATTGTTTAGGATGGAACTGTTGAGTGAAATGCTTGGCCATGGTATCTCTAAATCACATGCACAATTTTAATAGATTTTAGGTGTCTGGCTATGTGGATGTCATATAGAGGCTCATCACATGGAGTTAGATAGTTGAGTTGTGGCCTGTGGGCAAGAAAAAGTAATACAATGAAACAAGTCATGAAGATGTTGTAGACTCATCCAAATTTATTCTTCAAAGCTTTTATTGATGTACAATAGGTAGTTTAAAGACTCAAGCTGATGGCAGGAGGATTTACTTTGTACTTCATGTTGGGGTTTTCAGATTGTCATTTGTGTTGAAATCTGATGCCAGTTTGCCAAATCATGATTTTCATGAATTCAAAATGATTCCTAGGCATGTAATCATAAAAATTATAAAGCATTTTATCCAAGTGAAGTTCTTTATAATAAATGTGAATCAATATTGAATGTTTAGAATTGACAACTTTATAGAGCTTTGAAAGCTAAAATACATGAGTTAAATGTTTTTTTTTTCAATCCATAATAATTTTATGGGTAAATTACTTTGACCTCCCCTGAGGCTTGGCCTAATTACCCTCGGATTGAGTTTTTAAAATATGAGGGTCAACCTCCCTTGAAGTTTAGTTGACTTAACTCCGAATACCGCTGTTGATAGTTAATAGTTTCACTAGTTGGAGTATGTAAAAAAAAAATTAAAATGCCAAAACTACCCTCACCTAAAATGAATGAATCTACTCTCCCTCTCTCCTATGTATCACCATGACCATGTCTCCATCACCAATGTCAAATGTTTCAACCACCGCCTCTACTCTGTCTCTCCAAGGTTGTGCCGTCGCTACCCCCCCCACTCCCACACACGCACACGCAGCTCTCTCCACACACGCAGCTCTCGGCCTTTCCTTCTCTCGCTTCTCCCTCTCACCAACACCGCTATCTTCATTGTATATACATACATACATGTCCATCCCCTTCGTTGAACCCTACCACCAAATCAAACACGTATACACACACATGTATAATATAGACATATGTGTGTATACGTGTTTGATTTGGTGGTAGGGTTCAACGAAGGGGATGGACATATATATATATATTTGTATGTATATATGTATGTATATAATAGTGAAGATAGCGGTGTTGGTGAGTGGGGGAGAAAGAGAGAAGGAAAGGCCATGATAATAGTGTTGGTTGTGTGGAGAGAGAGGTGGTTGGTGGGAGGGGGCAATGGTGGAGGGATGACAATGGCACGACCTTGAGAGAGAGGAGTGGAGGCGGTGATTGAAAACATTTGAAATTGGTGGAGGAGACGTGGTGTTGGAGAGAGCGAGTGTAAATTTTATGCATTTTTGGTGAATTTTGATTTTTTTTTTTTTTATTAGAAAAAAGACTCCCAACTGGTGAAACTATCAGCCGTGATATTCGGAGTTAAGTAAACCAAACTTCAAGGGAGGTTGACCACCATATTTTAAAAACTTTAATCCGAGGGTAATTAGGCCAAACTTCAGGGGAGATCGGAGTAATTAATCGCAGATATTTGAGGGCATTTAAGTAAATGCACTCGAAACGTCAGTTCGGGGTAGTCTGACAAGGGGGAGTTAATTTGCAAAAACTTTACCTAAGGGTAATTAGACCAAATCTCAAGTAATTTTATTCCTATGTTAAAGAGGGTTTGAGATAGCAAGGAGACTTCTAACTACATAAATTTGCTCATTATGCGTTTTTGTTTCTGAGGAAATAGATTAATGTTTGAATGGCATTGGAATTTGGAAGATGTGCTATTATATCATGTGGCGGTTGTGTTTTGGTATTTTTGACATGCATTTAGAAAAGGCGGCAATTTTTTATTTTACTTAATACTCTTTTCTTTTTCAGTGATAAAATGGTGTGTTTTATGCATTATCCTGCTGTCTTATCAATAATTTGAAGCTATATTTGATAGTTTTTTTATGCTCAATACTGCCAAGAATGTTTGTGTTTCTGAAGAATCTTTTTATGATATTCAGGTCCAGATGGTCTTTTTGAGGTGAAGAAGGATCACTGATTCTTGGGGGACATCAAGGAGATATGTCTAGAAATAATGATTTTTTAGTGCATGATCGATCATGTGTCATCTTTTAAGATTACCTTGAGGATCTCTATGGATGTTATTTTGGCACTTCCCTTTCTGTAGTGGAACCATGGTATTTGGGCTGTATGTGGCTGGTTGTCCATACTTGTTTCATATTCTGTCACTTTGTTTCTCATGCTATGTTTGCCGCGAAATACGATGTGATCAATAATTGGGCATTTCCTTTTTCTATATTTCTTGACTACTCCTATAATTTTGAGCTTGTCTACTAGTGAGCTTATATCATATTATGTTCATTTGATAGGCTGATGAGATATTTACAGAAATTACAGGGCACGGCGGTCTTTTTCTTAGAACAATGCTAGAGCCAAAGTCCCGGAGGCATCGTTGACTAGCAGTTCTCCTTGATCTCTTTTAAGGAGGAATAATAATATAAGGATTGAGTTACCAAATTTAAACTGTGTCAATCATTTTCTGACTGGATTTGAAACTGTTGAAGAATGGTTTATGAATAGTCTTTGTAGTTCAATTTCAACCATTTGGTATTGTTCTCGGATATCAGTCCCAGGAAAAAGAAAGTTGTGTTGGGTCTTTGAATGTTATGAAGATCACTTCAACACTCCCTTTCCACCTCTCAGTCGGTCATCCCCCACAGGAGGGGATCCTGTGCCTTGGTCCTTTGTCGCTAGTATGTTGCACGTGCCCAGCCCAATGCATAAATGATGAATTGTTGCATAAGCAACGTAATGACAGAGACCAGCACAGGGTGAACTCCGGGTTCCATTGGAATCAGACTTCTGACTCCTCCCAACAGCTACAGATAACAGTGGCTATTTTCTGTTTTTCAGTCTCGTATTGTCATTCGGTTCTGTTAAAATCTGCAATGACTTAACTGTTTAGGTATGGAAATTCAATCTAATATTAAACAATATCAACATTTGAAAATACTTCAAATAGGGCAAGAAACCACACCATTAGAACTCATCAAACCAGTTTAATTTTAATAGCTTGGAAAGAACTCAATTGGAGAAAAAGTATGTCACCTAAATAGTCTCTTGGTTTTTTGTAATGGAATTAGTTCATTATATATATATATATATATATGAGTAGTGATATTTAGGTCGATTTCTCAAACCTATTTGTGTAGGTGAAAGGGTTTCAATCCATTTGATGGGTGGATAAGCTAAAAGAGATAGAAAGCCTTTCTGCTAAACAAGTAAGTTTGACAAATAGGTTTAAGAATCATTTTCATATATATAATAGATCAGTGCTTAAAGTTTGACACCTAAATAGGCAACTTTCTTTTTTGCATAAACACAAATCCATTTGATGGCAAGCCTTTGATCCTTCCCACGTAACAACCAGATTACACCGCAAGTGTAGTAGGAACTTCAAAGGAATTGTTCATATAAAATCCCTGGTTTCTCAAAAACTTTTTTGTGCAAAGTTAAGATGATATCTATTACATACAGACCTTATACGATAAAAAGCACAAACCAGCAAATTTCAAAAGGTCATGCATACTACAAATTCGATTGTTTACCTTTGGAATCAAGAACGTAAGAGAAAAAATAAAAAATAACAACAATCTTAATGATTATGAATTGCCATCTGACAATGCAAACTTACACCCAGCTTGTGAGAAGATGTCACTTTGCGACCGCGTCTTCATTGTTGCTGGTAACACCAGTTTGGATATCTGGCAAGGTTCCCAGATCTGTGCGAGCATCTTTTTCTTCTTGTAGGACTGAAGAATCGGAAGAATCAACTGCATCGTGCTGGGAGGCATCGGTGCTTTCATTTGAGTTTGAGGATGCCTCTTTCTCATGATTAGCTGATTCGTTTCTGCCTGCATCTGCATTTTCATTTTCATTAAAGGTTGTCGCCTTTTCTTCTGCTCCTGGTTCAGAATCAGTACCAGACTTCTTGTTTGGGACCACGTCATCATTCTCATTTGTGGTTGATGTTTCGGAACTGTTCTCTGCTTGGACATTATGTCCATTCAAAACAACAGATTCGGCATTATTCGAAGAATCTGTGAATTCTCCATTTGCTGAGTCCGTATTCTCAGTTGTCGTGGAAGGATTTGCTGATTCTGAATTTTCACTGCTGCCAATTGTGTCCGTTTTCTCAGTTTGCTCCTTTAAAGTAGTATGCATGTTGTCTCTTTCAGAAACAGTGTTTTCGAATGTGCTGTCTTGATTTTGAGAAGAATTAGTCATGTCACCTACATTTTGTAAGGATGAATTGAAGTTTCCTGCATCAATTGGCAAGGAGTTATCGCTTGCTTGCTGCTGTTCATTAAAGTCTTCCATTCCTGTTGTATTAGGATGGGAGCTATTCTCTGTCTCCAGTAGAATGGTCTCGTTACCCTTCTCTTCATTGGCAGTTGAATTTGAAGGATTGTTATTTTCAACTGCTTCACTCTCTCTCTCACTGGAGTCCGACTCGTGATTTACATTAATTACTTCTGTGTTACTTGTATTGTTCTCCTCAGAATTGTTGGATTCCTTGCTCTTTAATTGCTCTTCCTCACTTGAGTTGTCTGAAACTTTCTCATGTTCAGTGACGTCAGTCGTATTTTGAGAATCCTGTACCACTTCACTGGAAGAATCATCTCCCTTCTGGTGCTCCTCTGTTGCCTCCTCATTTTTCCCATCATTTCCATCAAGGACCTGATCCTCTGACGAAACAACATTTTCAATCTTACCTTCCTTCTCGTTCTTCTCTATTTCATTTTCCCCCTCTTTGCCATCCATCTCCTTCTCTTTACTCTCTTCCGTTTCTTTCTCTTCATTTTCTGTCCCTCTACCAGCTTCATTCTGCTCAATTTCCTTCGCTTCACTTTCCTTCTCTTTAGTCTCTTCACTTCTGTTATCGTTTCCCTCTCCCTTCTCTTCTTTCATTTCCTTCTCTTCACTCTTATTCTCTACATTTTCTCTCTCTTTGTTTGGTTCACTTTCCTCTCCACTCTGCTTTTCTTTCCTCTCTTCCCTATCATCCTCTTTATTTTCCTTCTCTTCATTCTCTTCTTTGTTCTGTTCACTCTCCTGAGTCTCCCCTCCACCTTCTTTCTCCTTGCCATCTTCACCTTCCTCTTTATTCTTGTTCTCAATGTTTTCTTCCTTCTCCACCACATGTATTTCCTTCTCCTTGTTCTCCTCCATTTCCTTTTCTCTATCTACAGACTCCTCTCTATGCTCACTTTCCTCTCTTTCTTTCTCTTGATCATCACGCATTTCATCATCTCCAACCGCTTTTTCTTCACTCTCACCCTCCTCGGGCTTGCTTTCTTCACGGTACAGTTTGTTTTCTTCTTCTTCTTCTTCCACCTTGTGCCTCTCATCCTCAGTGGTCTCTTCCTCCAAATGAGGATGGAAATGAGGATGAATATCCTTCCTCCCTAACTTAACGATTTCATTCCCATTCTGTAACTTCTGAGAGATTTTGGTGTTTTCTTCAAATGCTGCCTTCTTGTTACGGGAATGTTGGACTTGGTAAAGCAGCCAGATACAAACACCAACCAATAGCGTTATCTGCAGAGCATGCTTTACCTTGAAACCTTTCGATCTCTGGACCCTACGGGGTGACATCTTGTACATGATGAATTTCCTTAAATCTTCACTTATATGAGAGTGAACCACTTCTGGGAAAATCTAATCTTTATCAATAATTCAACTTCTGTTCAGGAGGAAAAAAGAAAAAAAAAAAAAATCAATAAAGGAACTCTAGTTCTGGAAAATCTAATCTTTATCAATAATTCAACTTCTGTTCAAGAAGGAAAAAGAAAAAGAAAAAGAAAAAAGAAAATCAATAAAGGGACTCCAGCTCTGGAAAATTTCTTGCGTTAGGGAGATATATATAGTGTGAAGATATAAAAGCATGAATTTTGAACTCGTTGGCACGCATTAATCATCTCCACTGCATGATCTTTGTTAAAATAATCAATTAAGATTGTGAAAAGAAAAGAACAACTAATCACCTAAAAACAAAACATATCATGGCAAGTCTAAATAGGAGTACTAAATTGAGACACAATCAACTTATGAAATGTGACTAGGATTAACTCCCCTCTCTCCACTAGCCACTAAAAAAACAAGTTATTGGTCGCAAAAACAGCAAAATCCTTAGATTTAAACCGTTAACTAATCAAATAAATGCAAAGGGCTGGCCTAGTGCATGAGGCTTCTGCCATTGCGGTGCCTAGGGAGGGTCAGATAAACGCAGCCTTTAACTCCGCATGGAGAAGGTGTTTCCGGTTTTGAACCGGTGACCTCCACATCACACAATAGAGTAACCATACCGTTATGCCAAGGCCCGCCCTCAACTAATCAAATAAATCTATAGCTCATTACTTCGATTTGTATATACTCGAGCTGATCTAAACCAGAAAGGTTGAAAATTTGAACATAATCAACAGAAGCACGAAAACCCTCACTTGCATTCAAATTCTAGTGTCAAGCAACAAAGCAGATCTCAAAGTCCAATATGGATTACAAAACCCAAACTTAAAATGGGAACCAAAAAGTAAGAAATTTTACCTACAAAGCAAATATACAATTTCATGGAAGATAAAAGATCTGCAACTCTAGACCTCCACCACCAAAACCCACCTCAAATCAACCACTCATACTCCAAAATACAAGCCACAATCACATTTTTTCATCATTCTAAAGAAAACCCATGAATGGAAAGAACACACACACACACAATAATAACACCACTGTTCACACATTGCTCAATTTGTATAGATCTGGGACTTGATTTCAAGATTGGATCGAAAACCCACATAGAGAAATTGGTTTGAATGGCTAAAAAACATGTGAAAAAAAGTGTTTAGAGAGATGTTATCTTACCTGGTACAAGAGAGATGAGTCCTTCAGATCCTGAAATAATGATGCAAAAGTTGCCTTTTTTTATGACATTGGGAAATGATTAGCGACAAAGTTGAAGATTTTTTTAGATTTTGGGTTCAAAAGGAGAAGTTGCTTATATGATACTCCTCAAATAAACAGTTTTTGAGGTTTGAAAAAAGAAAGGATTAAGGTGAACGCTATTGTCAAGAGAAGTAAGAAGTTCGTGTTCTTCTCTCTTTTGGATCTGCAAATAGTGGTAGTGTTCTATGCTTCACACGTATTGAACTTCATATATATATATATATATATATTAATATACACGTGTATGCGCACATGTAAGAGTGAGAATGAGTGGAGTGGTCAGTCTCTATCGCTTCATTCTTATGTGTTGTGTACACTTTCTTTAATGCGCGTGAAGAACTACAATGTCGGTAATTCGTTTTATCTATTTATTTATTTAAAACTATTATTATTCTTTTTTAAAAATGAAATGAAAATCCAATACTTGCCGGAGAAAAATAAAATAAAATAAAACCCAATAGATAAAAATGTCTAAACTTTACCAATTCATATAGGTTTTGTGTATATTGTTGTTATTGATTAAGTTTATTAAAAAATATTATTTAGTATTAGTAATTATATTAATGAAACTTATTCAACTCCATTTTTATGGCTTAAATTGAATTATTCTCTCTATTTTATAATTTAACATTACCATAATACTAATGCAACGTGTCAAAAAACACTAAAAATTATATTTCTCTCAGGAAAATGAGGATCAGAGTTAGAAAAAGAAACATTTAAATATATTAATAAATGAAAAAAAAACTTTAATTTGTTTTTTAGGAGAGAGAGAGAGAGAAAAAAAAAAAAAAAAAAAAAAAAGGCCGAGTGCAAAAAATACCCTAAAATATGCTTACAATACATATCATACAACTCACGTGCAAAAAAACACCATTAAAGTTTCAATTTGGTGAAAATAAATCCCTCTGACAAATTTAAATTAAGTTGACTAAATTTCCTTACTGAACTATTTTATAAAATATATAAAAATAAATAAATTTGTAAAATGATCAAAAATTAAGTTGACTAAATTTCCTTACTGAACTATTTTATAAAATATATAAAAATAAATAAATTTGTAAAATGATCAAAAAGAACACTATTATAGGATTCGCCTCTTGTGCAAAAAACACCCTTAAGTTTCAATTTAGTGTAAATAGGTCCATCTGTTAAATTTAAACCATAAGTTAACTAAATTACCCTTAACCATTTTATAAAATATATAAAGATAAATAATTTTATCTAAACTCTAAACCGACAAACAACTCCAAACAATCCAACTTTCAACTTACAACAAAATTTGTTAGAATTTAAGAGTGATGAGATATAAGAGTGACATAGATATGGTGTTGGTCATTTGGGAAGCTTGAAGTGAAAGAAAAAACATGAAAATTTTGGAGAGAATGTGAAAAATGGTGATCTATGGATATGGTGTTGTGATGAGGGGTCGAAGGGCAGACATGAAAATAGAAATTTTTTTGTGTGGTCTTAGAACTATTCTGTAATTTTATTTTAAGAAAATTGATTAGTGGTGTGCAGAGTTTGTGGGTGGAGCACCAATATCACTGGCTTTAAAATAAAATATATAAAATATTATTTTTTATTATCATCTAAAAATTTTCAAACATTTTTAAAATTAAATTCTTAAAATTTTCAATGCTTAATTTTGCACCTGAGTTAAATAAGTTACCTTAAAACGGCGTCGTGTGCTAGAAACGTGGCCATGCTGTGTCGTTTTTAGCTCTATAATCATTCTCATTTTTTAGACGATTTAACAATGCCACGTGTTCCCTCACACGTGATGAGTCGATTTCCTCTCCAATGTCCTCATTTTCCACTCCACCCCCATCTCCTTCTCTCTCCAAAATTATCATTCACTGTTCTCTCTCTCTAGAATTACCCTCCACCCCACACTACAGCGGACCACACAACACAAACAACCATGGCCTCGAAGCTTATCGCCTCCACACTCCGCCGGACCTCCCTAAGTAAGTTCCCCATCCGTCACCTCTCCACCGCCGCCGCCGCCTTATCTCCGCCGTCCGCGACGGAACCCTACGACGAACCGTCCGGAATATCCATGAAAGGCGTGAAGATCTCCGGCAGACCTCTCTACCTGGACATGCAGGCCACCTCTCCGGTGGACCCCAGGGTCCTCGACGCCATGCTCCCCTACAACATCTCCCGATTCGGCAACCCCCATTCCCGAACCCACCTCTACGGCTGGGAATCGGACAACGCCGTCGAGACTGCCCGCGCCCAAATCGCAGCCCTAATCAACGCCTCCCCTAAAGAGATCATCTTCACCTCCGGCGCGACCGAGTCCAACAACATCTCCGTCAAGGGCGTCATGCACTTCTACAAGGATAAGAAGCGTCACGTCATCACCACCCAGACCGAGCACAAGTGCGTTCTCGACTCTTGCCGTCACTTGCAGCAAGAGGGTTTCGACGTCACTTACCTCCCCGTCCGTCCCGACGGAATAATCGACCTCGATCAGTTCCGGTCAGCGATTCGCCCCGATACGGGTCTGGTCTCGATCATGATGGTGAATAATGAGATAGGAGTGATTCAGCCGGTTGATGAAATTGGGGAAATTTGCAGGGAATTGAAGATTCCGTTTCACACCGATGCAGCACAGGCTTTGGGGAAGATTCCAATTGATGTGGAGAAGATGAATATTAGTTTGATGTCGTTGAGTGGGCATAAGATTTACGGGCCGAAAGGGGTTGGAGCTCTATATATTCGCCGGAGGCCGAGAATTAGGGTTGAGCCCCAGATGAGTGGGGGTGGGCAGGAGAGGGGGCTTCGGAGTGGGACAGTCCCGACTCCGTTGGTTGTTGGAATGGGGGCGGCGTGCGAGCTGGCAATGAAGGAGATGAAGTATGATGAGAAGAGGATTGAGATGTTGAAGGATAGGATGCTTAATGGGATCAGAGCTAAGCTTGATGGAGTGGTGGTGAATGGGAGCGCTGAGAGGAGGTATGCCGGGAACTTGAACTTGTCGTTCGCATATGTTGAAGGAGAGAGCTTGTTGATGGGTTTGAAGGAGGTGGCTGTTTCGAGTGGGAGTGCGTGCACAAGTGCGAGTTTGGAGCCATCTTATGTGTTGAGGGCATTGGGAGTGGATGAGGACATGGCACACACTTCAATTAGGTATGGGATTGGGAGGTTTACGACGGAGGCAGAGATTGATCGGGCGGTTGAGCTCACAGTGAAGCAGGTTGAGAAGTTGAGAGAGATGAGCCCACTTTATGAGATGGTGAAGGAAGGGATAGATATTAAGAACATACAATGGAGTCAGCACTGATTTTGCAGACACATGTAATTGTGACTATATTTGAAGACAAGCTTGCGAACTACTACAGGTGCTCTGTTATATGGAATGCCAATGAGGTTTCATCCAGGTTTTCATTTTGCTTGTACATTCTTTTGAGAGCATCTAAATAGTTGTGTTTTTTAGGTTTTGCAAGTAGATGAATGCTTCCGATAGTCACACTGGTGGTAGTGTAATATACTTCAATGCTCTTGCAACGAACATGAGAATATCATATTATGGCAATGGGAATAATTTATGTATTTTTCCTTACTTTTTCTATCAAAAACTATTCTACATGTTGGACCTTATTTGTGTTACTTGGACTAATATGGTGTGTGATGCAAATTATATTGCTAGTCTTCCTGATATATTTTATTGCGAATGAGTGTGTACTATGATTTATATCCATGTATTTTAATTTTATAATCAATTAAATTACATTAGTCATGGTCTTGAGTGCTTCCATTTTTTTTATCTGGGAACAAGTTCTGAATTAGAGTTTCTCCATTATACCGAGTGCCAACGTGGTTTGATTTAGGTTTTCATTTGCTTGTTCATCCTGTTGATAATTACTAATACTTGTATTATTGTAGATGGATGTTTTCGACAGTCACACTGGTTAATCTAATATAGGGGCATGCTCTTGTGACAAACATGAGAAAATTAAATTTTTTGCAATGGGAATAATTGTTGCTTGCTTCCACTTTTTCTATTGATTTTTTATCTGCATTTGTGGATATAAGTCTGCATAGTCATACATTTTATATCTTAATTTTTTTGCAATGGGATTGAATTTTTAGTATAAATTTCTATATGATGCCTTTTTTTGGGTTGAGTTTATTATTATTATTATTGTTGGTGGTGGTGGTGGTGTTATTTTGTCTTTAGAAATGTAATATAGGGCAATTTCTTTCATTCAAATTATCTTTTGGGTTTTGCATTGTTGTGTTGTATTCAAATCATATACTTCATAACAAATGTGTGGTTCAAAGATCACACTCTAGCATTAAAAACCAAGGATTGAGTCAATTGACTAGTATTTCTAGGATGGAACATGATTCTTGCAATTTAGTGGAGAATGTGAGAAGTTATATGGTTAGGTACTAGGTTTGCTTGGAAGGAAGGAGAGACTGAGCCAAATTTATGATTCAGTGTAAGGAAGAAGGGCCTCACACTTCAGGAATAGGGTTCCGTAATGAATGGTGGAATAGATACTCTCTAGAGCACTTGGTTACTAAAACAACTATGGGTTGCATTATAATGATCGGAAAACTAAAAAAAGGTGCTTTGGAAGTTCATCCATGAGGGTTTTCAACCGTCGATGTTGATACCATATTTTTCATGGGTTTGTGATATAGGTTTGTTTTTTGGCAGGGCCTTTGGTGGGGAGAGAATTTTTGCATTATCCTCATCGTGATTGTCTTTGTAGAGCAAAAGTTACCTCGAGTGCTTAATTGAGCATCCCCATCTCCAATAAATTGTTTCCTCATCTCCAATAAATTGATTTTTGTTTTTGTGTTTTCCCTTCACTGAACCTCTATGACAAGCCATGGTTCCATCTGTCATCTGTGGGTGCTTGATGGTGATATGACCTGCCCTCCTTTGTCTTACTGGGTTGTACTTTCTTGATGCAGTCTGAACCTAGGTGATGTACCTTTCTTCTAATTAGAAAACCTTGCTTGTAAATCCTTCTTTCCTCTGTAATCGTTGCTTGTGAACCTTTTTTTTTTTTTTTTTCTTTCCTGAATGGGGTATTTTATTTATTTATTTTATTTTATAAATTGAAATCAAAGAGTACAATTACAAAAGGAGTGAAACTCCAATACAGCAAGAGGAATGGATAAACTCCACTTCCAAGGGAAAAAACCTAAACAAAAAGAGAAAACAAGCAAAACAAACTGAACTTCAACTTCCAAAAAGCCATCCGCAACTGCTTCCTTCATTGACAAATGATCAATAAATCTTCCAGCCTAAGCTTGAGATATTGAATCACCTCCCAAATAATGCTTCTGGCAGCATAGTCAGAAGAATCCTTAATTCCCTCATGTAAGTAAGAAGTCCTGCTGGACCAAATTTTCCAAATAGTAACAGCAAAAACTGCCCCTAACACCTTGGACTTTGTACATTGGACAGTAGAATTCCTAAGAAACCAATATGTCATGTGTAGCATAGAAGAAAAACTCGGCAGCTCCATATGCAATAAACAACAAAGTTCTTGCCAAATAGCAACAGCATAAGTACACTCACAAATAGATGATCATTAGAATCAATATTTACCAAACAATTATGACAAATGGGGACAAGGATCAAGCCACGTTTCTGCAGATTAACAAAACTGAGATTCTTATTGTGAAGAATAATAGTGACTCCCACAACAATTCTAGGTCGACAGCAACCCCAAAATAACTTACTCCACTGAACTGGTTGTTTTTTAAGTCTACAAGAACTCCAAGCTGCTTTCAGAGTGAATTTACCATGCTTCCAAGCGATCATATCAGCACCATTCTGCAATTCCACCCTTTGAATAGCAGTATAGACCTCAGCAGGTAAATCAATGGAGTTATTCCATACTCCATTCTGAAGTATAGCAGAAACCATAGAATTTCTGTCAATATATCTGAACCTGGTAGCTCCAAATTTCTGAATTAATGACTGCTGATTACACCATGGATCAGTGAGCAACTTGAACTGCAACCCATTTCCAACCTTGAAATCAGAATTCTCCAAAAGCATCTGTCGAGTCTCCAACATTTGCTTCCATATAGATGAATCACCCAATTTTGGTGTCACAGTCCAAAAACAAACTTGTTTAAGATAAACAGCCTGCAGCCATTGAATCCACAACTTCTCTTTATTTTGAACAAAATCCCAACACAAGGTCATTTTAGCTGCATAATCAATATCATGAACTCTCCGAATATTAAACCCCCCTTCAGTCACAGGAAGAGTTACTTGACACCACTTTACTTGAGCCATTCTCTTCACATCTTGCTTTCCACTCCATAGAAACCATTTGAACCTTTTTACAAACTGATATTTAATTGCCCAAGGAATTTTGAGCCCAAACACCCAATGATAAAGATAGGAGTACAAAACTGATTTAATCAACTCAATTCTTCCTGCAAGAGATAGATTAATAGTATTCCAATGAGCCAATTTCATATTCACTTTATCAAGTAACACACCAAAATCACCTCGCCTCAGTTTATAATTTGACAAAGGCAAACCCAAATATCTAAAAGGAAAAGCTTCAGTCTGAAATTTTAGAATTCGGGACAGCCTTCTTCGACCTCTAACAGCTTTAGAGAAAATGATAGAGCTCTTATCTTGATTAACTTGAAGACCAGAGGCAGCAGAAAAATTCTTAAAGACAGTATCCACATTTTTTGCAGTTGAAATATCAGCCTTAACCACCATAAGAAGATCATCTGCATAGAAAGCGTGGGAAATGTTCATACCAGCAGCAGCCACAGCTTTGCACACATGAATACCTCCAGCCTGAATCCCATTCGACATTAAAGTACTGAAGTACTCTGTAACAAAAGAAAACAAGAGAGGAGATAAGGGACACCCTTGTCTGATTCCTCTAGTAGCCCCAAAATACCCAGCTGGCACTCCATTACACAATATAGAGAATTTAGAGGTAGTGATACATTGAGTGATCCGCCCTATCCACCTGCTACTGAAGCCATGAGCCCGCAATCTCCACTGAATAAATTTCCAATTCACTGAGTCATATGCTTTCTTCAAATCCACCTTCAAAGCAATAGTAGGATCACCTTTCTTCTTACCAATATCCTTAACCAAATCAGAGACCAAAAGAATATTATCATGCAGCCGTCGACTCTTAATAAAAGCTGATTGTTCAGGGCCTATTAGAGAGGGCAGAACCATACTCAACCTGTTTGCTAAAATCTTGGAAATAATTTTGTATATTGTATTGCAAAGAGCAATAGGCCTGTAATTAGCTATCTTGTCACCATGATTAGCTTTTGGAAGAAGAGTCAGGAATGTAGACCTTGAGGGAGCTGGCACTATTCAAAGAAGTGGAGCACAGCTGCTATAACATCTTGACCAACTACTCCCCAGAATTTCTGAAAAAACCTAGCAGGAAGCCCATCTGGACCAGGAGCTTTATCAGGATGAAAATTCACAACCACGTCTTTGATTTCTTCACCTGTAATAGGACAATTCAAAGACATACTCTCTGCTGGAGTTAAGGTTTTTCTAGGAATAAAATCCACTTGAATCCCCTCTCCCTGCTGAGTATAAAGTTCAGAATAGAATTTGATCAACCATTCTCTAATAACCTTAATATCTTCAGACTTTTCTCCAGTTGTATCCTGTAGCTGAGTAATAGCATTAAACCCTCTCCTTTGTTTGACTAAATTGTGAAAAAATGTAGTACATTTATCCCCCTCCTTCAGCCATTTACTTCTAGATTTTTGGGCCCAGACAATCTCTTCAAGAGCTAAGACATGTTGCAGGTTCCCACAGGCTTCCCTTTCTTTAAGAATATAATCTTCATTCATAGTGTCACTTAACATTTCCATTTGTATTTTCAGGAAATTATCCCTAGCAACTTGAATTTGCTCTGAAACTGTACCCCTTTGCTTATTCCAATCTTTGACAGCTTCCTTCACAGCTCTCAACTTTTTCTGCAGCATATGTAAAGGATTTCCAGAACCTGTAACCTCCCAAGTTTCGGCAACCACTGTATCAACTTCCCTTTGGTCACACCATATCTTAAGAAATTTAAAAGGTTTAGGACCTGCAGAGCAGTCCACATGCCAATGAACAGCTAAACCACAGTGATCATATGTAAAGGATTTCCAGAACCTGTAACCTCCCAAGCTTCGGCAACCACTGTATCAACTTCCCTTTGGTCACACCATATCTTAAGAAATTTAAAAGGTTTAGGACCTGCAGAGCAGTCCACATGCCAATGAACAGCTAAACCACAGTGATCAGATAATGAAGCTGCCGTGAAAGAAGCTTTAACATCATTGAAGTGTTGAAGCCACCTGTCATTTGTCAACACCCTATCCAACTTGGCATTAATCTTCCTCTGAAGACTCTGTTTGTTACACCAGGACCACTCACCATTGTTAATAGGAATATCATCCATCTTGATGTCATAAAGAACACTATTGAATTCATCTAGTCTACTTTGTGGAATTCTCAATCCACCTTTCTTCTCCATATTGTATCTAACCATATTCCAGTCCCCCAAGGCAAGCCAGGGTCCTTGAATTTTAGTATATTGAACTTTAAGAGACTTCCACAACTCCCTTCTATCAGAAGCTCTATTTGCAGCATAGACAGCAGTAACATGAAAACTACTCCCAGAGCCTATATGTTGAACCTGTAGAAGCATAGATTGAGTATCTTCTAGAATCAACATGACCTTGAAAATAGACTTTTTCCAGCCAAACCAAATTTTTCCCAAAGTACTAGAGTTATAATTAGCAAACCAAGACCACTGAGATCCAAGTTTTTTCTGTATTCTAACAGATTTCCCTTCCTTAATCCTAGTTTCCACAAGGACAGTTAAAGCAAATTGATTATCAATGAGCCATTGCTTTACTTCCTTGCATAGGGGGTCGATTAAGCCCCCTCACATTCCAGGCACCTAACATTAATGAGAAAGAGGTAGTGTGCCACTACCATTCAGTTTACCTCTAGTCACTCTGTCTGAAGGTTGAATAAAAGGTTTCTTGCGCTGCCTTGGTTTCCCTCCTCCTTGATCTTCTATTGAAGCACTCTGAATATGATCAAATTCAGCCTGCTGGACTCCTTCATTAACAACACCAACACCCTCTAAGTCCTCCTGTGATGGAGGAACATTAGCAGGAATTGTATCAGTAGTGATTGGATCTTCAAACACATGTAAACTCTCCACTGGGTTCTCAGTAATAATTTCCTTATTGGTTGTATCTACTGGCAGACCAGAATTAGTAACACTAGCTATATCTTGAACACTATCTGGACCATCGAGATTTCCATTAGCAGTCGTACAAACATTGGAGGAATTCTGTGCTAAATCAATAATCTCAATAACCCCTTCTGTCAAAGCCAACACAGCAAAACCATTCAAAGTAGAAACAATATTTTCTGTTTGAGATTTCCTCTGTGGCATTATATCAAGCACCTTCTCTGCATCCACAACATCAACCAGTTTTCCTTTCTGTTTAATCACCCATTTATCAACAGTTTTCTCGGGTTTAGCCTGGACAATTTTCTGAGGACATTGGGCTTCCAGATGATCAATGCGTTTACACAAATTACACACTATTGGTTTCCATTCATACTCAAAATCAATAGCACAATCACAGCCATGAAAGTCCACAGTCATACAATTCGGCAAGACTTCCTTGACATCAACTTCCACCATAACTCTCACGTATTCTCCTTTATCACGATGAGACTCCGGATCATCCATATAGATAGGATTAGCAAAAGAAGAACAAATCTTGGACACAGAGCTTTCATTACGACAATGCATCGGCAAATCATGAATCTTTAACCATATCGGCACTGTCTCCATCACTTCCTTTACCAGATTCACATTCTTATCCCATTTCTTCAAAATTATTGGCCGCCCCTCAAATGTATGAATACAAGATAATACCAACTGAATATCACTTTCATTTTTAAATCTCACCATAAAAAACTTAGACCAATATTTCGCCACAAACGCTTTGAAATATGGATAATAAGGTCTTTTTCCCATAACATATCCCACTACTGAGGTCTTTCAATATGCAACTTCCTCTGCAACGTCTTCCTCAGTAATAGAAACCTTCTTCCCTCGACACTCTTTATGGAACTTAAGATTTTTGAATAACGAAGGTGCAGAATTATCAAAGAAAATACTGTAAGTAGGTTGTGTTGGGGTTGAAATCCGGCTGGAATCAATCGCCGGCATCAAGGGGGAGGAGGTTTGGCCCTCCTCCATGGTGGCCGTACCCCCTTCACGTGTACCTTTCTTCTTTCCTTTTAGATGCTACCGTACAATTGCTTTGGTACTTGTAGATTATTTTCCTTCTCCATGATTGATGATTCATCTTCTCATTGAGTTTTTTCTTTCATATTAAAAACTAGAGTCCCTTGTTCTTAGGTTGGGTGTTTGCCATTGCCCCATAAATAGGTCAACACATGTAACCTGCTCTAGATTCTAAAATTATAGCAGTGCCCCCACTAAATCTTTGGTAAAATCCCTTCTACATACTTACCCCAAAGACCTACTACAGCTGTCCTCTCTCTAAACTTCACAATATCAACTCATCTACTTTTGAATCTCTCACTAAACTCACAACTCTGTAGCCTCCTCTTTCTAAAATGAAGAGTTCGCTTTCTAAAATTTTATGAGTGTACATGATTTTTTTCTAGAATTCCTTTAATTTGGATTGCTTTTAATATATCAGCTTCATAATAATTGAAATTGAAGTATTTACCCAAAAAATAATTGAAATGGAAGTATGCACAATTTCCAATGAAAATTTAAATTAATATTTAAGTTCTTTTGTTTATTATGGTAGTTTGAAAAATCCTCCTCAAATCATTTTCTGGCTCCGTCAATAGAGGCGAGTACCAGGAGAATCTTAGCCTCACTTATCAAAAATAAAAAACCTTTGAATCTTAGCTTCTTTGGTGTAGAATTCTAGCTTCTTTGTTGTGTTGTAGTTGGCATGGATAGAAAGCACTGCTAGAATTTTTGTGGAGGAGTTGATGATTCCTGGGTAGAGTTAAGTCCTGTGCTTTCTCTTTAGTTTCATCTCCAAGCAATTTGCTGATATGCCATGGAGGCGTTTTCCCGAGTGACTGATGGCAGTGTTTTTCATTGTAGATTCAAAACTATCAAATAGTGGCCCATTGAAACTTAGACATTGATGGGCGCTCTCGGTGTCACCAGCATTGGGCAATATGGGTGGGAGAATGATTAGGACTGTTATGGATAGAGGAAATATTTAATTTTAAGCCAATTCATCAAGAATTTTCATTAGAGTGGAGGCTTTTAGTGTTCTAGAAAGCCTTTAAGAAATTAAGATGCAGCTTCTATCTGGTTAAGGTACGTAAATAGCTCATGGTGGTGAATGATTAGGTATTTATGAGTTGGGTGGAGCTAAAATGATGGGGCATTGAGCCATTCATTTCAGTTGTAAGAGACTTAGCAACCTTATAATTTGACCTTTTGGAACCACAGAAATGCAAAATTGAAAGCCGTTTTTTGGGCCAAGAGGTATCTATTGGTGAGGTATCACTTCAGGACGGTTTATATCAATCTTGCTGGTGTCTTTTGTGGGTGTCTGTAGGAGCTGCTATTGTGGGGGTTCGTTCATTTATTTTTATTATTATCGTCATCATCATCGTCCTACATGATGTGTGATATTAATGCAAATCGACAAATAGTTTCCTTGAGAGTGGGCCTTAGCGCAACAGTAAGATTGCTCCATTGTAGCCTTGGTTCAAAACTAGAAACAACCTCTTCGCATGAAGATAGGGATGTTTGCGTCTTACCCTTCTAGACCCCTCAATGATGCGAGCCTCGTGCACTAAGTTATCCCTTTTCCTTCACGGTAAAGTTACTTGTCCATCATGGCAAAAGCTTCTTATACAGTTGGTATTCTTGGACAGCTCCTTGCATATGTTGGATACAAATTGAATTGTCTGGGCAAGTTTAGTAAAGGCAAGTGCTGGGAGAATCTTAGCCTCACATATCAAAATATCACGTGGGAATCTTAAGTTTCTTTGGCTTAGAATTTCAGATTATTTGCTTTGTTGTAGGTGGGAGATGTCGGTTTCACCAGCACCGGGCAATATTTGAGTGGGAGAATGATTAGGGACTGTGACGGATCGTTGATATATTTTACTTTAAGCCAAGCAAATAAGAATTTCATTAGAGTGGAGGTTCTTAGTGTTCTAGAAAGCCTTTAAGATGCAACTTCTATCTGGTTGAGGTAGATAAATACCTCATGTGGTGGTTGATTAGGTATTTATGAGTTGGGCGTGGAGCCATTCATTTCAGTTTTAAGAGACTTGGCAACCTTTTTATATTTGACATTTTGGAACCACAAAACTGTAAAATTGAAAGCCGTTTATTTTATTTTATTTATTTATTGATTATTATTATTATTATTATTTTTGCCAAGAGTGGTATTTGTTGGTAAGATATCACTTCAAGGGTCTGGCTGGTGTCTTTATGAGCTGTTATTACGGGTGTCCTTTCCTTTATTATTATTATTATTATTGGGCTGCCTATATGACTGAATGTTTTATTTATGAGCTCTAAACAGTATTTTGTGTTGACTGAAGCTATGGCCTTTAGAGTTGAATGGAAGTATAGGATTTATGTATCCGACCCCAAATAATTGTGAAAAATGCCAATGTATTACATGGAAAACAGATTATGTTGAACATTGAACTTTCATGCTGGAGTTGACGGAGAATACTTTAGTACTGCAAATGGAAACTTAACGGATGGGGGAGACGACAACCTTTGTAAACCATGTTTGGAAGGGGGTGTCTTCTAGCCACAAGTAATTCCAAAGTGAAATAGGATGAGGCACTGACCTCGAGCTTTTGGTGAGCCTGAGAAAACAAACTTGAGGCTATTTGGTAGCTGAATTTGAGTCCCAAGTACACTCATATGGTTGGTGACTTCACTTTCTGTGGCAATTTATGGTCGATGATAAATTTTAAACTGATATGAGGGAAAATATTATAATACCATTTTGCTCCATTCTAATTTTTATAGTAGCTGATTACCTTAATGACATAAAGAAAGTCTGTTCCATATGGCAAATATTATGAGACCCGCTAAAGTTTTGGGTAGTGATTCGAAGTTCTAGTCTGCTCGGAAAAAATCAGTGAGGATGTCAAGAAAACTTTTCTTCAACGAGGCACCCTCAAAGTGAAGCCAAAACCTACCACCTAAAGCTAATGGAATCTATGGAACAATAGAAAGACAGCCAATTGTGATGCCCCGCCTAGCTGTGCAGGGAGGATACAGTCACGCAGGCAACACGACATGAGTTGAGAACGACTTTGCATGGGGTCTGCATGACATGAGTTGAATGAACTTTTAGAGCCTTTTAGAATTGTGTGAAGAGAACTCTACCCGGCTGCATGACATGAGTTGAGTTGAATGGACTTTTAGAATCTTTTAGAATTGTGCGGAGATTATAGAGTACTATATGGAGAGTTGAAAGATTTTAGAATGTTCCAAGCTTGTAAATATGAAAAGATTATAGAGGGGAAGTTTTGTAGTGTTGTAGATATTTGATAGAGAATTCTATAAGGTGGATCTCTATAAATAGGTGTAGAGAGTCATTTGTAACCAAGAAGCTATAAGAGTGAGATAGCCTTGCACAGAAAGGTTATGCCATATCAGCAATATGCAAGGGTTGCAGAATACTTTGATTCATACTTGTATAAATCAAACTTAAGCAATATGACATAAAAAAGAAATGCCCAACCCAATTATTGTTCTTCACAACAAAAACCCAATTCAAATAGTGGGTTTGGCTAAGAGTGGTAGAATTTATATTAACTGCATCTCCTTTCATTTATTATTATTATTTTTTCACATAAATGGAAAATGAATTGTTTTGGTTTTGGGGAGTTAATACAATTCTCGTTTTCTCCCAACAATTTTACTAAAAATTTGATTGAAAAATAAATAGTTTTAGAACAGAGCTTTCTTTGAAATTGACATTATATTTGATACATACGATTCCATATCATTGTCTGGGAGTTTGTTATTAAACTTAATTAATCTGTTAAGAGTGTTACTAATTAATTTTTTTTGTTTTATAGTGTGACAAAACCAAAACTCTAAATTCCAGCGCTCAAGGCCCATGTGGAACTTCGGCCACATATCGATACCAAAATTAGAAAGGAAATAAAATACGATCACACAATGAGAAAATAAATGGTCATAAGTTTAGGCTTTTATTATTTTTTATTTTTAATATTCTTCTCTTTTCTTTTAGATGTAACTTCTATTTATTTATTTATTATTATTTTTTTTTTCGGTGGCTTAAAAGATTGATATTCTGAAATTTATTTAGATAAATACCATTCTTGCTGATTGCTGAATTCCTATTATTGAGAACTTCAATACCGATTCAATCCGAGCTCTTGGAAACCATTATCGCATATTTATAGAAATTTATTTTTTATTATTGAGAATTGTTTTTAAAGAAAATATGAAGTAGAAAATTCAAAAAGAAGGGGATATTCAATGAAAAAAAAAAAATCATTGTATATATATATATATATTTTCAAGACAATAAACACACTCACACACCCACTTTTCGCTCCTATGAAAACTTGAACCATCTAACTTTGATTTTGAAAACTTGAACCATCTAACTTTGATTTTGAAAGGTGAACAGAGATATCACTGGGCAACACAATTCTTAATAATTTCATTATAATTTAACATGAGTATTTTCCAAAAAAAAAAAAAAAGTTTATTTGAATTATTTTGTTTTGGTAACAAATAATTTTTTTTTTCAAAAAAAATTTAGTAGTTACAAAATATTGGAAATAGAGAAAATTTAAATTTTAGTGAAAAAATGAGGCTCTAATGCTAACTTAGCAATAAAAGACACTGCGAACTTATTTTTTAAAAGTAGTATTTTATTTATTTATTTATTTTTTATCTTTGTGAAGATTTTCATAGAACTTATTTGTCTTTCGAACTTAAAAATAGGACTAATTAATAATTTTTTCTATTATTTCTTTCATGGAGTGCAACAACTTTGAATTCAAAATGTTTGAAGATATTTATACATCTAAAAGAGTTTATAAGTAGGGAATTATATCTTTGGTTGATAAATCTTAAACTGATATCTTATTGGAGAATGGGGTGCAATTACAGGATTGCAATCCATTATGACAAAGAAGTGAATGGATCCTCTACAGTACCACAACTGATGGCCACAAGTACTCAAGTGTGATCGTGCACACCTGTAAGTAATCATAACCAGTCATACGTGTAAGTAATCGTAACGGTCGATATGATAAAGTACGTATGACACCTACTAAAGTTTTGAATCATGGTTCATCGTATCTGTCGATATGCAATGTATTGATCAGTTCGTAATCATTTTTCAAGTGTTCGATACCGTCACACACCTCTATGAATGGGCTGATTCGACCGACTTACACCGGTATTTATCCGAATCTGTTACACTGCGACCTCGAACATTGCTGCTACTGCGAACCTTGTTTTGGCTACATACTACAAAGGCAGTGAATTGAAGTCATAATCTGCAGTAAAATAACAAACTATGATCTGAAACAATCAGTGAACATGTCATGAAAACACTTCTTCCAATATTGCCCTTCAAAGTGAATACAGAACTGTACATAGCACCAAAATGGAACAAACACACAAGCAAATTGAGTCTATGGAACAATGGAAAGACATACAATAGTTACTGCCCAGTCAAAAATTAAATAAAATATAATCGTCAGTAACAAATAGAATGTACACTAACTTGAAGCAAAGCCCCCAAAATAACCGGGGAAAAAAAAAAAAGAAAAGAAAAGAAAAGAAAAGAAAGAAAAAGAAAAAGTAGCAAACTTATATTACACAAGAATGTCGAAAATGTGATTCCCGCGATAAGTATTGCTGTCTAATAATTTGTGATTTTGAAGATTCTCCATGTTGCCCGAGCCTCGAGCGTACACTGGCTTTGATTTTCTTCGTCGCCGCCATCTCCTCCGTTGAATGATCCTGATTGACCATACCATCGTAAGAGTGATTAAATTGAGCTAATAGTTTAATTTATATGTAAGATCAAAACTTTTGATTGCTTCATCAAATTAAAGCAAGGATCATATGGCAAGTGAAAAATATATTTTGCATTTTATGAACTAGTAAATGTGTTAATAAAAGTCGTTTGAAAAACATTTGTATGAAATATTGAAAGGACAGCACAGAGGAGACTATAACCAATAAATAGTGTAACGACCCAAGCTGATGCCAAAATTTTAAAAATTTCGCATAACCTCCCTTAAAAATGGTCCTTTAACAACCTGTCCCAATACACAAAACACATAGTATAATCCAACATTCCATTCATCAATTCATTATACCTCAATATAGTTCCTCTCATGGTGGAACATCCACACACCAATTAATCTAACTTATCATAATTACAGTCCCAAAATACATGGTTAAGATCTAAAGTCCCTGTCTTACAACGTTACATGATACAATTGCATGGAAATATATACCACAATTCCATTAGTTTCATTTACATCAAACAAAAGATAAATTCGTTCTTAAGTTACAAGGCCATGAATACTAACTTAGTTACATTTCCACAACTATGAGTATACATAGAATGGTCAAAATACAAAATAGCAAACAACCTTCTAACAATTTTCAAGCTTGAGGTGGATTGTTGTCCACCGGTTCATTTCCAAGACCTGAAAAAATAATATAAATAGTAGGGTGAGCAAATATGCTCAGTAGGTGACCACCTCTTGAAGCCCCGTTAATCCAAACAAAGCATAGACCAATGGGGATATGGATCATACAACGTAGGGGAAGGATACAACATGGTTACCAATCTCAACACAAATGACAAGATGCAATGGAGATGCAAATGCATGCCGATGTTGCTCCCCATTTTCAAATTCAAGATCATCACTTTCAAATTGTTAATACAGCCCGCCCTTTGGTGACCCCGCAGCGACACGATAGGAGGATTGGCTAGTGTCCCTGACCCTTGGTAACCCCGCAGCGTCATTATGGGCCCAGCTAGCTCAACCACACTAGGGCAACTCTCTAGTCCCCTCCAGGCTATATTAACCTCCGACTCATTGGTAACCCCGCAGTGACCGGGTTTGCATAAAACCATTTCATCAAAAACACATCCCCAAAATTCCCCGTTTCCATTTCAAAACATTTTTCCATCATGCAACCCCGTGATTCACATTTACAGCTCATGCCTTTAATGTTAAATCAATGAGGGATTATCATAAAACACACTAAAGCATGCTTTCCTACATCATTTATAGCATAAGAACAATACAATACGCATAAACTCATGGTACAACATGTTTCTCATATAACAACATTAAAACAAGCTTCCACATATTCACATAGGTACTAATCATGGCATTCAAAACAACAACTAACACAATTAAGCATGCTATATCACATATAAAGAAGAAAACTCACAAGGGTGCAAGAAAAATGTGAATTAGGAAGCCCCTACCTCAAGATTGCACAAAACCCTTGAAATGGGTCTTGAATTTCGAAATCCAAAGGGTGCACAAAAACTGAAATTGATGGTATGGATGCGTAGAGCTCGTCGTGGGCTTCGTTTTGCCTCAAACGGCACCTTAATCCGATAAGAGATGAGGTATTAATCAAGACTTGAATTTGTAAACTAAAAAAAAAAAACAAAAAGCCGAGAGAGATACAGACAGAGACGGGAGAAGAGAGAATGAGATTACAGAGCTTTCAAAAACGTGGTCTTATGACCACTTAAAACATTAGTGGGTCCCACCTTTTTTTTTTTTTTTTTTTTTTTTTTTTTTTTTTTTAAATTACAGACATTACAAATAGAATGACCTCAAAGAAACAAAAATGGAAGCCATTAAACCAAATATATGGTGCTTTGTTTGTTACCCGTAACCTGCAATTCAATTACAGCATGCATAGTGAATACTATCGAGTGAATTCAATGGCTATAAGCATTTCATAATCAAATGCAAACATAAAGCAAATGCCCTGAAGCATTCCATACATGGTTAACTGCATAGAGCTCGGGTGAGGAGACAATAATGTAGAAATCAGGTGAATCAAAGAAACAAAAATGGAATCCCATTAACCAAATATATGGTGCTTTGTTACCTGTAACCAGCAGTTCAGTTGTAGCATGCTTAATGTTTGGCTCAAGTGAAGTAGCTTATAACTCCTAATTGATATTCATTGCATCTCAAACATAACCCTACTCACGAAAATGGCTTCCTTTTTGTGTTACATGCCACGCATTAAGAATGCAACTATTAGGATAGTTAATAACAATAATTCTTTGTTTCCTGTACCTTGATTTCATGTATTTCAAGATGCATAATGAATAATATCCAGTGCATTCAATGGCCATAAAATCAAATACAAACGTAAAACATTTGTTCTCAAGCATTCCATATATGGTTTTTTGACAGTATAATCTTTATAATTGTTTTCTTCATTTGTTTAACCAACCATGACAAGAAGTTCTGCAATATCCTGGAGACATCTATAAGGTAGGTTCCGTTACCATATTCAACAGCTGAAAAACTCGTACTCCCGAGAGAGTCTAGATTTTTCCGTACATAACCGTCTTTTAACTGTTGAATGTTGTCTTGAAAATGATCTCAATGTCCCATTTCTGCATGTACATATATATGGATTCAAATTAATATTCATATGTATTTATAATAAACAGTATGGTCCTTGATTGAAGTTTGATTTTTCTCAAAGGTGCTAAAATTGATCTAGTCGGAGAAACTTTATCGAATAAAATGTGCAATATTAATGTATAGGGTTTCAATTTGAATGTACGCTAACAATATTATTTCAAGAAATAACTACATGATTTCGGGATCATTAATTAGTTTCGGCCAATTACAAAATAATACATACATAAAAAATCGATTGAAAATAACATAAAGTTGATACGTTTACTTTATCTGCCATTTCATGATTGGCCCGAAATCAACTTTAAACACTGACAATGTGAAATGGAGTGTGGTGGGGTTCACTTATATGTGTCACATTTTAAGGACACTCAACGGACTCGTGGGGTCACTTACATTACATGACTCACATTTGAGGACACTCAGATTGAGATGGTTGAGCTCATTTGTTGCCACTACCAAAATAGATGTTTCTTGATGTGGTTTGATTGGAGCAAAAAAATAGCAAATTGTACTACTATCAATATTCTTGCTAAACTATTTTATAAAATTATTACAAAGAAAGTTGATATCCGCAATCCACTATTAATATATATATGTGTGTGTGTGTGAATTTGTTTAGAACAAATGATTCTAATCTTGAGATTATCTATATAAATTTCCATCCACACGTCTAATTACAAAAATACCCAACTCCATGTTAAAATTTCAAAGATTGAATTACAAATTTAAAGTAATTTTTTTTAAGAAAGTCTCTCTCTCTCCGTTGATCTCATCCTAGCTCGTCATGGTTATATATATTTTCAATTAATAATTGACTGATGAAGATCGAGAATATTAAGTTATGCTTGATTTGTCACTCAAAAAATAATTCTACAGGAAACTATGGCATTCAAAGGACGAAAACTTCTCTCAGGAACATAAATAATGACAAAGGACTCACCCTGCAACCAGATTCTTATCAGACTTGGCATGGAATTCGCAAACATAGAATTTACGTCCGAGAAATATTAAACCTGCAAAGCACATACACCAAACAACACTTCCTAAATAAAGCAGCCAATGGAAGGACTCTCAAAGAACCAAATGAAAGACACAGAAGCCCTGGAAATTTTGTAGAGAATAGATACATAGATGCATGAAACATTATGCTGCTTAAGTTATCAAGAAAACAGTTCCAACACATCAGATAAATTAAATCACCTAATTTAATTGACCACTTGTTCTTCACCATAATCAGAGAAAGTGATTTATCACTATTGTTATTTCTACTATTGTTTCTATATTTTAATTCTGGCAAAGGACTATTTTCATAGTTGTGTTGGCTCCATTCACAACCCCATGCATCACTCATATTTGGAATCCATATTTGTGAGTAGGATGATAATAATGCACCCAAAAATGCTGCAAGAATATTACTTTTCTCATTTAATTACCAATAAAGATAGAGACCATGGATTTTTGCAGAACTTCAAAAACCAATGATGGAGACCATGAATTATGATCACTGGCAATGATGGAGACCATGAATTATGACAGAAAGAAAGATGAGATTTGGCAATGAAAGAGAAAATTACCAATAAAGATAGAGACCATGGATTTTTGCAAAGGAGATGACTGCAGGCAAAGCTCAAGTTCATATTTCTAGTTTTTGATATGTTGGATGCTAGTCTCTTGGTTTGGGCATATCAGAAAGTTGGGAGATTGGTTATAAGTTAAGTGACCATAATATTATTCTTCATCCTAAGTCAATGAAGGTATTTAAGATACAACAGAAGGTAGGGAGATTAGTTTTTCACATTTTACAAACCCTGTACTCCAACAAAATTAGAAAATGAAAAAGCAATTGATTGACTAGTTTATATATTTGGATGAACTAGAAAGAGAAGCCTAATTTCATAAGATGAGCCTAAACTAAGTATGAAATTTGATCAAGATGAACACGCTTGTGAATGTCATAGCAACCAGACCTAGTTCATTTCAAACAGGAAAATTTATTAGGGAATGGACAAAAAGGCGTCAAAGCAGCTCAATTGAGTATATGACCCATCAAGGCAATTAAATTTAGGCACTTGCAATGGGAATAGGGTCACTGTCGAGGTTCTGAAAAGGACATATATATATATATATATCAAGGCAGCACAAGAATAAAGTCGATGAACAACACTTGGAATTGGAATGAAGAAACTTGGTTTAAATTTCGAACTGTCAATGGGAATAGCATATTAACTCTTCACTATCATACAAATATTGTGGTATGTTTTTGTTTATGTGGATAAAACATTTAATGGAGGGATTTAAAGATTGTAATCCCAGCAAAAACCAAATTCCCCATCAATGGCTATCATCCAGACCTCTGTGTGTGCTTATAAAATGGAACAGATTAATTCAGACACTAATCAACTCAAATGTTTGGAAGGAATTCTTAAATAACCTACATTATTCAGAAGCTTTGACTAGGTTTTTTGATCATCTGGTTTACTGGTAATAACAATAATAAAAAAATCTGCTTTATGTATGGGCAATTGACTAATATATCAATTTTAAATATATGCATAAAACAGATTAATCAGAGTAAGTCTGCTCGCCTTTAGAAGAATCTCCCACCATTCCCCAATAACCCATATGCTACCGCATTCATACAAACAAAACCAAAAACAAAGCAACCATTAAGAAGCTATTTTTACGTATATCGTTATACTTATATAGTATTGATAAATAGCCCTGTACATAAACAACTATAAACATCACAAAACAAGCTCGGAACTTAAAATGGTAAAGAAAATCAGAGGTCGATGATCCGTTACTGTGACATTCACAAAAAAAGAAAAAAGAAATAGCAACTTGAATTTAAATCTAACCTTCTGAAGGAGATAGAGTCTGTGGAGGGGATTAGATTCTCTCTTTCTATCTGTGCATATGGCTGCCACTAAATAGCTCCTTTGGTTCTCAACAATGGAAAGATCTTTGGGTGTCTTCCGTTTCTTTCTTTCAATTTTCTATTTCTCTATTATGATTCTCTCTTTCTGAATGCTGCCTATAAAATGAAGAAACTATAATGATAAGAAGGATTGGAAGTCTGAATAACTGGCTAAATTAAGGTTAGTATTTGTTTTAGAAATCATTATACTATGTGTGTGAGAGAGAAGAAAATTGTTATATGATGACATTAATTATCATGATACATATGGTTGTTTCACTTCCATGTCAATCATAAGCTAAAAAGAAAAAGGAAAAAGGAATTTACCAAATATCCATGGCATAAAATCCCACAATTTTCCAAGCTACTCCAAAAACACATGCACAAACTGAACAGCCAACATTTCCCTAAAAGATGAGAACCACAATCAAATAATTAAGGAAGACAATTTTAATAGTACCAACTGAGAAGAAACAGTCTACATAGAAGGAAATTACAAAAAGACAAGTAATTTGAACCATTATTAATGGTGCAGATTGAGAGGTTCACTAGAAAGCAATAATGAACAAGAAGAGCAACGACAAGATTAAAAATTATATGGTCATTGAAAAACTCGAATTAGAAAGTATATTTTCAGTACAAGCATAATTAAGAAACAAGAACATCTGGAGTAAGAGAACCCTCTTACCTTATGGCATCAATGTCGTAAAAAATTGGGACAACAGCTGATACGCAGTTCTTGTGATGTAGTAAGTTGACGCATTCCTTCAGGCAGTGATGTTAATGAACAGCATTCGGACCAGACAACTTTCTGAAGTGATGTGAGGTTGCATATCCACTCCGGTAGACTCTTCAAACCACACCGACTAATCTCTAGGGATTGTAAGGTGGTAACATATTGAAGCCCTATGGGAAGAGACTCTGACTTTTGAATTGAACCAATCGTGAGAGAAGTTAGGTTCTGAAGGCCTTGAAATTGCATGACATCATCATCACTTGACAAATCATTACAATCATAGAGCTGCAGCCTCTCAAGGGCGGTGAGATGTTGAATACGTCTTGACAGAGAAGTTAGCCTCCTACAACCAGAAATTTTAAGATACCGGAGAGAAGTGAGGTTTTGAAATGCTTCCTCCGGCAGACTAACCAGATCCACAACGTCCTCGATGCACAAAATCTTTAATTTGGAAAGAGGAACAGGTGAAGATGATGAGGACAGTGTTTTTACTGTTGTTGTTGTTGTCATAGGGATTGTTGCGGTTGACATCATCATTAACTGATGTACTAGCTTCCAGCTGACCCATCTGAGTCTAAGTTCTTCAACATGGGGACTTAAGGGCACTGATGTCACCTTATTACAAACATTGATGAATAATGTAGATAGACGAGGAAATGATGGCAGTATTGGCAGTGAAAAAAGATGTTGCTGCTGCTGGTCTGCCGCTGTTGTCATAGTTATTGGTTCTTCTGCTTTACCACTCCACCATCCCTTCAGACTACCCAACTGACAGAGTGAGAGAAACCTCAGGGATGGGAAGAATGTTGCACTTGATGAATATGAAACAGAACAAAGGGACATGTCGACACCACCACTGCTGCCGCCATTGTCTATATATTCCAGGGAACAGAAACTAAGTTTAAGAACTTGGAGAGAAGGAAGCTGCCCAAACTGTTGAAGATATTTCCATCCGCACCCTTTTATATCGAGTTTGACAAGATTTGGGAGGGACAATCCAATGTTGACCATCATCCAACTTGGAAACTTGACACCAATGTACCCACTAATAAACAGCTTTTTCAGATTTTGGTGTGGCTGGAGACCTTCAAGAACTGACTCGTAATAATCATGAATGCACTCCCTGCCAGGACAGATACTAATTAACCAACATAATTCCAATGAGTCGAGGTATTCCATCCCCTTCAAGTAGTTTTCTTCTTCAGTTTGTTCTGATGTTGCGCTTTTCAAACACCGTGATCCCAAAGAGAGAATCTTTAAATTTCCCCTTAGATTGTTTAGGCCTCTAAGTTCACTCAACCCGCCATTGACTGGAATCATACCATCACGTTCTTCACGCAGTCGGAACATCATCAAAGTCCGAAGAGAAGTCAATTCACCCAGTCCAAACGGCATACAAGTCAAATCATAACATTCCTCAAGCTCAAGATGCCTAAGGCTGACCATTCTTCTTATATCCCTTGGCAATTCTACAAGCTTACTACAACCATTGAGTTTTAGGGTCCGTAAATTTTGCAACTTGGTAACGGAACTTGGCAAAGTCTTGATTTCAAAATTTCTAGAAAGATCAAGATACCTTAATTGTTTCAGTTTACTTATGCAACTCGGTAAAGTTGTGATCCCTAGGTTATGCAAATCTAGTACACGTAACCTTTTAGAAGTTGGTGATCTTAAAAAAGTTGGAACGGTCACTGAAACATGTAGCTTTCGAAAATGTCCTTGATATGGCAAAAAGAATGTTCTTAGTTTGTTAGCTTTAAACAATGGGATTGGAATTTCCCATGACGAATCTCTGGGGACATCAAATGACACATGACGGATTTTTGGAGGAACATATTGTGCATCCAAATTCACAATGGAGCTTTGTGGACCAGCAACTAGGTTTGCAAGGTCATGGATAAGATCATGCATTTTACAACTTATTATATTTCCCCATACATTCATTTCAACATCTTGAAAGAAGGACCTCCTTAGCAAATCCATAAAATATAAATGTGCGACATCCTCCATTTGTTCATTTTCATCCAACAACCGAATAAGTCCATGAGCAATCCACAAACAAATCAACTCTTGCTTATCAATTATATGATCTTTTGGGTATAAGGAACAAACTGCAAAGCATCGCTTTTGATAAAAGGGAAGGTAATCATAACTCAACTTTAGTACTGGTAGAACAACATTTTCCTCTTGAGCTATTTTGGGCAAATCGTTATTTTTGAAATACAACTACTCTTCCTCTGTATCTTTAGAGAATAATAAGCTTCCAAGAGCCCTCAAGGCGAGTGGAACTCCACCACACTTCTCTGCGATTTCCTTTCCAATTGCTACTAGATGTGGACTCTCCGGTTCTTCCCCTTGTTTGAATGCCATTTTCTTAAATAAAGACCAGGACTCATTCTCAGACAAGCCTTCTAAAAGATATGGTGGCATTGTGCCTGTAATAGTTGCAACCAGTGTAGTGCGGGTAGTTCTTAAAATTTTACTTCCCCTTGCGCCACCCATCAACAGATTTCTCAATTTCAGCCACCCGTCACGATCTTCATTCCATACATCGTCCAATACAAGCAAATATTTCTTCCCACCAATTTCTTTCCTAAGTTGATCTTGCATCCCATCCATCTGAAGATTTTCAGGTTTCTTACAGGTTGCAGATTCAATGATTTTTCCCATGATGACTTTTACATTGAAAACATCAGAAACACACACCCACATCTTCATTGTAAATTGTTGAGTGACCTTCTCATCATTGTATACTAATTGTGCAAGTGAAGTCTTTCCTAGTCCTCCAATTCCAACTATTGGAAGGATCGAAACATTTTCTTGAAAGCTGAGGCCATTGTCTAACAACAACCTCACAACTGCCGCCTTATCCTCTTCTCTCCCAATAACTTCTTCTGCGCACACAAAAGAGTGAGTCTCTTCCCTCTTATTACTATTATGATTCACAGGTTGCGTCCACACAGACCGTTCAACTAAGTGAAATTTCTTCCTATCTTCGTCAATGACATCTAGTTTTTTTCGATGGCACTGATTTGATCACCCATTTTAAGACTAAAAGCAAGCTGGTTTGAGCTCGAGAAAAAAATGAGTACCTTCTTGGCCCACTTATTATGAGCCATCACTTTGCGAGGCAGAACTTCAGTGGAGAAGTCATCGAGCAAGTCATCAGAGTCGCAAACTACATCGTCGAGCTTTTCGAGCCAGTCTGCAATCTCATGGTTGGTGACTTGCTGCTGCTCCGCGTCAAGAATGACAGCTCTGATGGTTGAGACAGTGCCTCTCAGTTTGTGAAGCTCTTCGGCAATCCCCCAAGCAAGACCCATCTCTTGGAGAGCTGCTGAACCCAACTTGTTCAACATTTCGGTTGCCATCTTGTACAGAATCGTCTCCGCCATTTTTGAATGAGAGTTTGTGAGAGTGAAAGATCAGAGAAAACTCAGGTACTGAATGAATGAAGATTGAAGACTTCAGTTATGCTCTCTCCAAAGTCTTCTGATCATCTACAAATCCATAATAAACAAATAATTTTGTTAGATACAAGCTAGAAAGGAAAACTCAACTGTTTATTTTATATTATTTTGTTAATGTGCATGAATCGGTTTGGTAGATAAAAGTTGGAAAGAAAAAGGTATTATCCAATTATCGAGAAGTCACATGCAAGCACGTGATTGCATCTTGTTATTGTTCCAGACACATGGGTTCACTTGTTTCTTGGGCCAACACCTACCCAGGATTCACTATCATCTAGAAATCGGTCAACTTACAAGGCGGGGAGCTTGTGACAGATTCATCCAATTGAACCCACACTCGAAAGAGAAGGCAAGAAGATATAGGTGAAGCAAATCACATTTCCTATTTCACCAATTTGACCAAAATATTTGAGACCTGTTTTGTTTTTACCACGAGCACATACTTACTGCACATAAGTATCTCACACGCAAACCATCATTAATTTGCAAAACCACACAACAAAATTTCATAACCACCAAAAGCTTCATTCATAGTATTCAAATTCAAAGTAAATTTTACATCCAAATTCGTCATGTATTAATACACCCACATTAATTGAAATAAGAGGTTCCCATCCTTTTCACATAACATTGCTCCATCCAGGTTCCCATCCAACAACTCAAGACTACGGATAAAAGAGGTTTTCTTATCTCACTCAGGACTATGGCTAAATTTGATCTTTTTCCTTTGTGCCAGTACAATCTGAGTCGAGCGTGAGCAAGTAACCTAGCAGCAAGTAGGCTAGAAGTAAGGAGAGGGCAGCTAGAACAATTGAAAGGATGGGCGCAAAGGGCTCTTCCATCCACCAAGCTTGAGAGCATCTTGTAGGCCTTCTTAATTAGTTCTGCAACCAGCAATCCTCTGAGAGGAAATAAACAGATACACCTACAATAAGAAAGAATTGTTGATTAATTCCAAGGAACAATTACACTTCTCAAAATAAACAGAAGTGGTGTTATAATCTTGTGTGTCACTAGCAGGAACCGTATAACCAGGCGGTTGGTCCTTGTAAACTTCCTCTTGTGGGTTTCCATGTAGAAAGACATTCTTTATATCAAGTTGATAAAAAGGCCAGAACAACAAACTGCAACAAGCAGGAGGACCGAAACTGAGTTGAGTTGGGAAACTGAGTTGAGGTGGGCCACAGGAGAAAAAGTGTCACAACCCACCCCACACCGTGTAGATATTGTTTGCTTTGCACACTCTTTTCTCAGTGCTTACAGTTTTGCTCAAAACGCATCTACATGGTTAAGGGGTGTCCACACATATAAGTGACGCAGGACAAGTAATAACTTATAGTAACTAGAAAGATAGAAAGGGATGAGGATGAGAAGATAAGATGAGGCTAGACGAAGGAGAGAAGACGGACGAATAGGGATGAGAATCAAATTGAAGGAGATAGGATAGATAGACGAAGGGTTTAAGAACAACAAGAACAAAGGAGAAGAGACACAAAGGGAGTTCGCAAACTCAACGATAATATTCAATTTCTCAACAGTGAGTTCTCAACTTACAAAGGAGCCTTTAAATAGGCAAATTATTAAGCAAACCCTAACCAAACATAAAAATACCAAAATAATCCTAAAATTCGAACATGATCAAATATAACAATAAGCATAAATAAAACACTAAATTACTAAAAAGTAAAATCCCCAATTTTATTTCTCTTTCCCTCTTCTCCAAAAGTAGTGTTGGAACACATGTAGCTCATGTGTGCGAATCACACCCCGTTCCCCACCAATTCTCCTCAGCTGAGAAGAACTCTTCTTCAAAGAGTTAAACGGAAAGTATTGCTTGAAATAGCTCGTATCAACATGGCAAGACTCAACTGTAATCCATGAAACGTCTAAAACTGGATAATACATCCATTGTGACTCACTCTGACCATCGATAATACCCTTAATCCAGTTCAAATGTGATAGCTGACATGATGGGAGGACAAATGTTGATGCCGAAGAAAATGCAATTCCACCTGTAGAAGCACAAGCTAACACCACCAGAGGCTCAAAGGTACCTCGGTTAGGCATCAAATACTTCACTTAAAAAATTGGACTAATACTATTATCCGATGTCAAGTCAAATAAATATGCATAAGGTCTATAATTGGGAGTGATGTGGAGATATCGATTGATTTGGGCTTGCAAAGTCTCAAAGGAGCTATAAGGTTGTGGTGATGCACAAATAAAAATGTAATCTCCATTAATGAACTTCTGATTCCTAATATGAGCACATGCAATAAATTCATAATTTTTATTACTCAAAATAATTTGTCGTCTTATATTGGCATGAAACTCATGGACATACTCAATTGGACTTGATACTTTACTCGGACTTGGATCTTTTGCTCTGATACCAATTGAAGCAGGACAAGTAATAACTTATAATAACTAGAAGGAAAGAAGGGGATGAGGATGAGAAGATAAGATGAGGCTAGACGAAGGAAGAGAGAAAACAGACGAATAAGGATGAGAATCAGATTGAAGGAGGTAGGATAGATCGACGGAGGGATTAAGAACAACAAGAACAAGGGAGGAGAGACACAAAGGGAGTTTGCAAACTCAACGATAATATTCAATTTCTCAAAACTAAGTTCTCTACTTACAAAGGAGCCTTTAAATAGGCAAATTATTAAGCAAACCCTAACCAAACATAAAAATACCAAAATAACCCTAAAATTCAAACATGATCAAATATAACAATAAGCATAAATAAAACCCTAAATTATTAAAATTCCCAATTTTATTTCTCTTTCCGTCTTCTCTAAAAGTAGCGTTGGAACACGTGCAACTCATGTGTGTGAATAACACCCCGTTCCTCATCAGTAAGTGTCATCAAACCTCTCTCCCCAGGCGATGTGGGACCCAGCGTCCTCGCTAGTGTGACCCTCGTGGGCTTGTGCACACTCCCCACATTTCCGGTTAGGGATTGATTCTAATACCATTGTCACGACTCGCCTCACACCGTGTAGATATTGTCCGCATTGCACTTTCTCCTCTTGGTGCTCACGGTTTTGCTCAAAACGCGTCTACATGGACCTCTCCCCCAAGCGATATGGGACGTCACAAAAAGTCTCTAGGTAGTCAACCCTATTGTGTATTCTTTGGCAACTAACTGTGCCTCAAAGCGCTTAACGGAAACATCAAGAAGATATTTAATGGTATAAACCCACTGACAACCAACAGTCTGTTTCCAGGTGGAAGAACAATAAGCTTCCAAGTTTGATTCTTGTCAAGGGCACTCATTTCCTCATCCATAACGTGTTTCCATCCAAACAAAGATAAAGCTTGCTGATAGAGAAAGGGACTAAAATAAAGGACAACATAGAAGCAAAAGATTGCGAGGCAGAAACATGATGAGCAAATGACACAAAATTAGCAATAGAATGTTGAGTCAACAACGTTTACCTTGACACAATGCAACGGGTAAGTTATTTGAAGTGGATGGAGAAAGATGAAATTATGGTGGAGAAGATGTCATGTCCGAACCATAAGAAACATTGGGTCGAGAGCTAGATCACCGATAAACTTGCAAAGGAGGATTCGAAGGTGGAGCTACTGGCATCGTAGGGGTCAAATTAGAAGGTGGAGCCAATGGCATTCGAAGGGTAGGAGAAGATAAGGAAAGCTTCCTCTCACGAACAAAGATGTGATCAGGTACAAACTCTAATGAGATGACGAAAAGAAAGCAATGGACTTAAAAAAAAAAGGTAGCAACGACACTAACATTTTTAACTCAAAACTCTCATTTTCTTTCAAAGTTTCTAACTTTATACATTAAAACACTCTCATGACTTCAAAGTTTCTAGATTGTAACAATAGTACCCATTTGAGTGTGAGAATCTCCAAGAAAAACACATTTACGAGCACATGGAGACAATTTGTCCTGACCAGGATCTAAGATATGAGCAAAGGTTACAGAGTCAAAAACACAAGGAGTGAGCTGAAAAGGAGAGACGCCAGGATAGAAAAGAGAAAAGGGAGTCTAGTTATTTACAACAGCAGAGGACATATGGTTAAAGAGATAGCATGGACTAAGAACTGCATCAGCCCAAAAATGTTTTGGCACTTGCATATTGAATAACAAGGTACAAGCAACATCCAACAGATAACGATGCTTTTGTTCAACAACACCATTCTTCTGTAGAGAAGTGTGAGCACAACTAGTCTGATGAATAATACCACAATAAAACAAGAGAAATTCATGTCAGACTGTGGATACTCCAACGCATCAGATCTAAGAAACTTAATACGTTTACGAAATTGACTAAGAATTTCATTATAAAATTTAGTAATAATACAAGGTAACTCAAATTTCTCTTTCATCAAGAATAGCCATATCATTCAAGAATAATCATCAACAAAGATAACAAAATATCGAAATCCATTCAAACTAATAGTTCGAGAAGGATCCCATATATCTTTGTGGGACTAAATCAAAGGACTCGGTTTGACAACTCTAAGTACGACTTAGGAAGGAACTACGATGATGCTTGTCTAATTGACAAACTTCACACTCTAAAACAGGCACACGACTCAATGTAGAAATAACTAACGGCAACTTTGCCAAAGATGGGTGACCTAAACGAAAATGCCACTGAAGAAGAGAGACGTAGCACTTAAATCTGATGACAAGAGATAGTTGTTAAAGGCTCAAGGTGCACTAAGGCACCAAAGGCCTTCCGGAGCCTAAGCGCAAGGTGCAGTATAAGGCATGAGACTGATCGAAGTAAGGCGTGTGTATATAATAATACATATTTAAATATATATTATTATATATATTCATAATTAGGCAGTAATTGTAGTTAATGTAAGTAGTGAACCATAAATTTATGAATTTTGTCAAATATTTCATAGGGTTAAACAATACGATATATGATATAGAACCTTTTAATTTAGTAGTCATTAAGTAAAAAACAAAATGTATTAATAAATGATTTTAAAATACAAGGCACGCCTTTTTTGAGCCTGGAGCCTACTAAAAAGCGTGAGTTGAGAGCTTCGTGTGAGCCTGATTGAAGGGGTATGCCTGTAGTAGGTTGAGACGCTTTAGCCGAGCCTTGACGAGCCTGGAGCTTTTTTGGAGCCTAGGCGTGCCTATAACAACTTAGACTCAATTTGAGGTTTACCAATATCCAAGTAATATAACTCGTCCTACTCGTGTCCTGAACCTATCATTTTTTTTTGTACTAAGGTCCTAAAGAACACATGTAGTGGGGCAAAATGTTATGAAACAGTGTAATTCTCTAGTTAATAGACTTGAGAAATCAAATTAAAATGAAAATTAAGAACATAGAGACTAAAAGATTATGATAATGAATCGGTAGGGTGAAGGACACCTTTTCCAAGAACAGGCCAAGAGGAACCATCCGCTAAAACAATGTGATTCTTAATCAGTTTCAAATCAGAAAAAAATAGATAATGTACCAGACGTGTGAGCTAGCTCCAAAGTCAATGACTCATGACAAAGAAGATTGAATAGGTGTAAGTAGAAGAAAGAGTACTTACACAATTTCTAAATAAGCACTCTAAGTTGAGTAATGAGTGCATCTTGAGAATCAGAAATGGAAGCTATATGTCTAGAACTGATACGATCGACAGCCTGAAGTACAACATTTGGCTTGCCACAATTTTCCCAACAAGAAGGTTTAGTATGATTTGAACCAACACAATGCTTACACTTCTTATCACCACGTCCACTAGGACAGCCACCATCATGGGAACTACCACAAAAACCACGGCCGCCATGGCCACAACAAGAACCATCCCGAAAATAAGGTTGTGGTATATACTCAGCCATGTGGAAAAGCTGGACCAGAAAAGGAAAGAACAAAAACAATTATCAACAAATGTCCAATAAGGCAAAACAAATGTGAAACCATATTGAAAGCTTACAGCCTTAGCAAGAAATACACAACCAAATACAAATTAGACCAACAGTGAAGTCAAATAATTTGTTCTAGATTCAATAATCAACAATTAAAGTCTTTCCCATTCCAAATAAATCATATAGGATGAATCTGCACATGAACAGTAGCAGTGCTGAAAAACAACCAAACAGTGCTTAGCAATATCCAAACAGTAGCAAAAGTGTCAAACAATGCTGAACAGTTCCAAACAGTGTTGAATAGTAGCAAACAGTATTGAACAATAGCAAAACGTAATTCCAATGCTGAAACACCCAGTCCCAGCCCAGAAAATGGCTAAAAACCTATGCAAGTCTCTGAATCTTGCTACCAAACCCAAGACAATGATATCCAAATCGCATTCCCGTGTTGGATTGAACAAAAAAACAGCCTAAAATCCCAGAACAACAAATCGAAACAAAATGGGCTGAAAATGCAGTAAATGTTTTGAAATGCATGTTAACATAGATCAAAATCAAATCCATGGCTTGAATCAACATAACAGACATATGTAACTGTTAGAATCATAAGAGTACTCAATAAATGAATGTTTGTCATATAACCTAATAAGACCATGCATTGGATAGCCTTCTTAACAACCGTGGGATCATTTTGAGGAACATAATTTTGTTACAAATGGGACTGGGTTTGACTGACATAATGAAAGTGGTGGAACTATGTTCTAGCTCTATTTCAACAGTCCAGGCCCAATCCTATCTTGATTAAACCTTAAATTGTAATAAAGCAAATACTAATAAATAAGAACTTGCATGAGGAAAATTCTACATATGGGCCCATGTCATTTTTTCAGGTGCTTCACAGACCATATGCATAATGGTGGTTTCATGGGTGTTACAATCCAAACCTTTAAATTGATCAAGGATTTCTTCTAACTACATAGAACAGTGCTTGCCTTCAATCATATAAGAAGATTCTTTCTTTTAACATTAAACTGACAAAGCATCCATTAAAAAGAAAAGAAAATAAATCACACTTTATAAACTTATTTCTACTGGGATCAAAACTGATCTAAGATATTTAGGAGGGGAAAAAAAAAACTGATCTAAGATTCTTTAACCCCTTTTTAAGTACATGTTGTTTAGAGGCAACTGGCAAGTAGATACACAAACAAATATTAAAACAAAAAAAAAAAATCATCTAATTCTATCCCATTGAAAACTAAACACTACATAGAAAAGGATTAATTCTTAAAACAATTAGCTTCACAGACCATATGCATAATAGTGGTTTCATGGGTGTTACACTCCAAACCTTAAAATTGATCGAGGATTTCTTCTAACTACATAGAACAGTGCTTGCCTTCAATCATATAAGAAGATTCTTTCTTTTAACATTAAACTGACAAGCATCCATTAAAAAGAAAAGAAACTAAATCACACTTTATAAACTTATTTCTACTGGGATCAAAACTGATCTAAGATATTTAGGAGGGGGGCGGCCGGGGGGGGGGAACTGATCTAAGATTCTTTAACCCCTTTTTAAGTACATGTTGTTTAGAGGCAACTAGCAAGTAGACACATACACAAACAAATATTAAAAAAAAAAAAAAAAAAAAATCATCTAATTCTATCCCATTGAAAATGAAACACTACATATAAAAGGATTAATTCTTAAAACAATTAGCTGGAAAGATCTATCACTTAGCGCGCACACACTATTAAACTTCTTTCATCAAACTCAATCCAACAATGATAATACTTCATCCACCCTCACCACACTAAAAATTCGAAGAAAATTTAAATCAAAGCAAAGCGATTAAGAATGAGCCTATTGCTCAAGGAAAAATCTTACATTCATCTGATACAATCATAAGCAAGTGCAGAAGGAACCAATTCAGACTATAACAAAGCAGGCATAGCAAATAAACCTCGGAATTAAGATAAATTGCTGCCAAACATAGTTGTAGACAACATCTACAAATGCCAATTTAAATAGCACATTAGCATAGGTAAACATTAAAGAAATAACCAACTCCCAGATATAACATGGCAGCAAAACGAAATGCATTCAATAGGCAAACTGCAAAGTCTTTGAAACCCAAGATTCAACAGCAATAAGATAAGCACGTACTAAATTTCAAAGCTAGAATCCACCAATTTACCAATATTCATGCAATGACTCAAATAAAGAAAAATGGTTGACACCACACCCTAGATGTTTGTCCTATTATCAATAGTTTCAAAAAAAAAAAAAAAATTAATTAATTAAAAGCTCAAAACAAGAAACTTTGAGCATATTCCTCAAGAATAAGAACATGAACATACATGGACCAGGACCTAAATCCAGCTAATTAACTAGGCAACATAAATTTTAACTCGTCAAAAATAACTTGCATTCATCTCATACATATAAGCCAAAAATATCATATCTCACATGTGAATATAACAAACTAGAAATTCTGCTGGTACTTCAGAGAACATAGACAAAACTTATCGAACATGCACATTGCAGATCGGAACATAGAAGCGAGGCTGTACCTCCAAAGCACTTTTGCGTTTAGATGTGTTATTGTGTTTGGTTACTATTAAAAGCACTTTTTATTGATTACCAATTTTAGCTCAGTAGAGCTTTTGATTGAAGCTAAAATTTCCAACTTTGAAAACTGCATTTTAAGTAGAGGTTGCAAATTTTAGGCAACTGTTTTTCATTATACGATTTTATCCCCTTTATTTTTTATAAAGACAATTTCATCCCGTCTTTTATAAAGTCATGCTATTATCAAATATAGTAACACTCTGTTAAAGGGCATTATTGTAAAATTAGTAATAGAAGTGCTTTAACCAATATTGTTACCAAACAAATTAAAAAGCATTTAAATAGTGAAAAGTACTTTATATGATGTATCACCAAACACCTAACATGCTTCTTACTAACAGCAATTTATGACAGCTCTACTAATAAAAGTGCTTTTTTCATTTTAACAGCAACGCCAAACAGGCATTTTATTGGTTCTCCATATACAATTTCTTTTTTTTTCTTTTTTTCTTTTTTTTTTTTTTTTTTTTTTTTAAAGTAAAAATATATTAGAAAAACGTTCAAAAGGGGAACGCGTCCCTAATACAAGAAAAAAGGTCTAAGGACCAATAGAATCCAAGAGATCAAAGAAATCATCAATCGAGGAGCATGTACTTCCTCTTACATGACAGAACAAAGAACGAAGAATATGAAATTTTAAATTAGCTAAAGACGATTCTTTTCCTTCAAAGGATCTGTTATTCCTCTCACGCCACAAACACCACCAGAAACAATGTGGAACAATCTTCCAATAATCGCGAGCTTGTTCTTTGACAGGACACCTTTTCCAAGTGTTAATCAATTGAGAGGAGTGTTTAGGCATTACCCAAAAAACACCAAACATGCTAAAAATAAAACTCCATATACATTGTAAAAGGATAATCTGTTACCACGATCTTTGCACTTGATCTAGATATGATCACTGGCAATGATGGAGACCATGAATTCTGACAAAAAGAAAGATGAGATTTCGACAAAGAAAGAGATCATTACCACTAGAGATAGAGACCAGAATTTTTGCAGAGAAGATGACTGTAGGAAAAGCTCAAGGTCATATTTCATGTTTTCGGTCTGTTGGATGCTACTGCTAGTCTCTTGGTTTGGGCATATCAGAAAGTAGGGGGATTGGTTAAAAATAAGTCAAGTGAAAAATGAAGGGTATTTAAGACGAACAACAAAAAAGATAAAAGCTAATCCTCCCCAGAAGGTGGGGGGACTAGCTTTTCACATTTTACAGATCCTGCACTCCAAAAAATGTAGAAAATGAAAAGATGATTAATTGATGAGTTTATATATTTGGATGAACTAGAATGAGAAGCCTAATTCCATAAGATAAGCCTAAACTAAGTATGAAATTTGATCAAGATGACCATACTTGTGAAATTGTGAATGTGTAATAGCAACCAAACCTGGTTCATTTCAAACCTGAATTTTTTTTAGCAAATAGAATAAAAGGCATCAAAGCAGCTCAACTAAGTTTATGACCCAGCAAAGCAATTAAATCAAGGCACTTGCAATGGGAATTGGGTCACTATCGAGGTTCTGAAAAGATCATATATATCAAGGCAGCACATGAAGTAACGTCAACAATGTAAAACACTTAAGCTAGGGTTGGGTGCACCATTGTTCAGAAGCTTTTACTAGCCTCATCTGGTCTACTGGTAATAACAATAAAATGTATATATATGCTCTATCTATGGGTTTCTGACTAATATATCTGTTTTAAATATTTACATAAAACAGATTACATCAAAGTAAGTTTGCTGGCCTTTGGAAGAATCTCTCACCACTCCCCAATCTACTCTAGAATGAAAAGGCTAAAGACAGAAGCCCTATGTCACACAAACACAGACACCACGTTTATGCATACCTTTATGTTGACGAAGGGAACAACTATAAACATCACATAACAAGCTCAGAACTTTAAATAGTAAAGGAAATCAGAGGTCGACGATCCTTTATTCTATGACATTCACAAAAAGGAAAAAAGAAATAGCAACTGAAATTTAAATCTAACCTTCTGAAGTAGATAGATAGGAAGAGTCTTAGATTTGTCGGTGGAGAGGATGAGATTCTCTCTTTCTATCTGCATATGCCTGCCAATACATAGCTCCTTTGGTTCTCACCAATGGAAAGATCTTGGGGTATCTTCCGTTTCTTTCTTTCAATTTATTACTTCTCTCTTATCTCTCTCTCTATGAATGTTGCCGATCAAATGAAGAAACTGGAATGATAAGAAGGATGTAAGTCTGAATAACTAACTAAATTTAAATTAATATTTGTTTTAGAAATCATTATACTACGTAAGAGAGAAAAAAAGAGAATTGTTGCATGATGATATTATCATGATATTTATGGTTATTTCATTTCCATGTCTAAAGAAATAGCAAATGGCACAAGGAGGCCCTTCATCAAAAGTTAAAAATAAATAGGAAGAAGGAATTTTAGTGAATATTCACAGCACAAAGTCCAAAAACAGAACGCAGTATAATCATACCCATTGATGATTCATCCAAGCTACTCCAAAACACATGCAGAAACTGATTCAACATTTCCCTAAAAGATGAGAAGAAAAATCAAATAATTAAGGAAGACAATTTTAATAGTACCAACTGAGAAGAACAGTCTCCATAAAAGGAAATTACAAAAAGACAAGTAATTTGAACCATTATTAATGGTGCAGACAGAAAGGTTCACTAGAATGGCTTGGTTTGCTCATCAGTGAACGACTTGCTTTTCTCATCCAATGACCAAGAGAGTGATCAATCATGTCATCACCTTGTTATATATACAATAATTCTGGAAGGTGTTTATGTAATATATTCACATAATTCTATGAAGAAACAGATTCAATGAGAATTAGATAAACAAAGCATGAGGATAATTACCTGCTGCTTATTGGTGATAGTTGCAGTATGAGTTGTGAATATATTTTATCCACTGAGTACTGTGTGCAGAAAACAAAGGGAGCATCAAAAGATCAATTGAAATTTGACAAAGAAAGCAACAATGAACAAGATGAGAAACAGCAAGATTGGATTTTAAGGTTATTGAAGAACTCAAATTAGAAAGTATACCTTCAATATCGGCATAATTAAGACACGTGGACATCTGGAATGAGAGAACTCTACCGCCTTATGGCCTCAATGATGTAACAGTTCAGGACAACAGCTAATACGCAGTTCTTGTAACGTAGTGAGTTGAGCATGTCACACCTTCAGGCAGTGATGTTAATGAAAAGCATTTGGAAATGACAACTTTTTGAAGTGATGTGAGGTTGCATATCCACTCTGGTAAACACTTCAAATCACATCAACCAATCTCTAGGTACTGTAAGGTGGTAAAATGTTGAAGCCCTCTGAGAAGAGAGACCAACTTTTGAATTGAACTTGATTGTGAGAGAAGATGGGTTCCTAAGGACTTGAAATTGCGTGCCATCATCATCACTTGACAAATCATAGCAACCCAAGGGCTGCAGCTTCTTGAGGGCAGTGAGATGTTGCATACATCTTGACAGAGAAATTAGGCTACTACAACCAAAAATTTTAGGATACTGGAGAGAAGTGAGGTTTTGAAATGGTTCCTCCAGGAGAGTAACCAGATCCTCAATGTCCTCAATGCACAGAATCTTTAATTTAGAAAAAGGAACAAATGAAGTAGGTGATGAGGACAGTGTTTTTACTGTTGTTATCATAGGGATTGTTGTGGTTGACATCATCATTAGCTGATTAAGTAGCTTCCCAATGACCCATCTGAGTTTGAGTTCTTCAACATGGGGACTTACGGGCATTGATGTCAGCTCCTCACAAACATTGATGATTAATGTAGATAGACGAGGAAATGATGGCAGCATCGGCAGTGAAAAAAGATGTTGCTGCTGCTGGTCTGCCACTGTTGTCATAGTTGTTGGTTCTCACCATCCCTTCAGACTAGGCAATTGACAGAGTTCAAGCTACTTCAGGGATGGGAAGAATGTTTCGCTTGATGAATAGGAAAAAGAACAGAGGGACATGTCAACACCACCACTGCTGCTGGCGCCATTGTCTATGTACCCCAGGAAAGACAAGAAAATAAGTTGAAGAACTTGGAGAGAATGAAGCTGGCCAAACTGTGGAAGATATTTGCACATGTGACAATTTCAAAGCAGTTTGACAAGATTTGGGAGGGATAAACCAATGTGAACCGTCATCCAACTTGGACACTTTACACCATGGTACTCACCAATAAACAGCCTTTTCAGATTTGGGTTTGGCTGGATACCTTCAAACACTAACTCGCAATCCTAACTGTACTCATTGAAAGCATAGCTATTTAGATCGCTGCCATCAGACCAATATAATTGTAATGAGACGAGGTAGACTATCCCCTTCAGGTAGTTTTCTTCTTGAGTTAGTTCTGTTGTTGCACATTTTAAACCCTCTGGTCCCAAAGAGAAAATCTGTAATCTTCCCCTTAGATTGTTTAGGCCTTTAAGTTCACTCAACCCTACATTGACCAGAAATATACCATCAGGTTCTGAACCCAGTTCGAGCACTGTTAAAGTCCGAAGAGAAGTCAATTCACCCAGTCCACATGGCATACAAGTCAAATCATTACATCCATCAAGCTCAAGATGCCTAAGGCTGACCATGTCTCTTATTTCCCTTGGCAATTCTATGAGCTGACTACAACGATTGAGTTTTAGTGTCTGCAAATTTTGCAACTTGGTAATGGAACTTGACAAAGTCTTGATTTCAATATTTTTAGAAAGATCGAGATACCTTAATTGTTTTGGTTTACTTATGCAACTCGGTAAAGTCGTGATCCCAAAGTGATGCAAATCTAGCATACGTAACATTTTAGAAATTGGTGATCTTATTAACGTTGGAACTGAGACGTGTAGATTCTTAAGTCAACCTTGAGAAGGCAAAAAGAATATCCTTTTTTTTTAATAAGTAATAATTCATTAAAAAAGCGTTCAAAAGGGGAACGCATCCCATGTACAAAAACAAAACAGGAACCTATGGACCCAATGGGTCCAAGAAATCGACAACATCATCAGAAGGAAGAGTAGTGTATCCCCTTCACCCAACTGAAAAATGGAGCAAATGATATGAAGTTTCAAAGTCGCCGTAGACACCTCCTTTCCTTCACAAAATCTGTTATTCCTCTCTCTCCATATGCACCACCATACGCAATGTGGAACGGTCCTCCAACAATCGCAAGCATGACCCCCCACATAGCATCCCCTCCACGCTTTAATCATGCCCCTTGTGGACGGGGCATCACCAGAGAAATGTCGAATAATCCGAAGATAAGATTCTAGCAATCGTGCACCACAGGGCAATGTAAGAGTAGATGATCTGGCAAAAAGAATATCCTTAGTTTGTTAGCCTTAAGCAATGGGATTGGAATCTCAAATGACGAATATCTAGGGACGTCACATGAGCAATCCACAAACAGATCAACTCTTGTTTATCAATTATGTGATCTTTTGGGTATAAGGAACAAACTTTAAAGCATGGCTATAGATAAGAGGTAAGGTAATCTAACTCAACTTTAGTATCGGAATAATAACATTCTCCTCCTGAGCTATTTTTGGCAAATCGTCATTTTTGAAATCCAACCACTCTTGCTCCGTATCTTTAGAGAATAACAAGCTTCCAAGAGCCCTTTAAGACAACAGGAACTCCAGCACACTTCCCTACAATTTCCTTCCCAATTGCTACTAGATGTGGACTCTCTGGTTCTTCCCCTTGTTTGAATACCAATAAAGGCCAGGACTCATTCTCCGACAAGCTGTTTAAAAGATATGGTGTCATTGTGCCTATAATACTTGCAACCAGTCTAGTGTGGGTAGTTACTAAAATCTTACTTCCTCTTGAACCACCATTTCTCAAATTCAGCCATACTTGCAACTAGTCTAGCGTGGGTAGTTACTAAAATCTTACTTCCTTTTGAACCACCCATCAACAGATTTCTCAAATTTAGTCCCTCGTCACGATCTTCATTCCATGCATCATCCAAAACAAGCAAATATTTTTTCAACCTTGCAGATTGAATGATTTTTCCTCCAACCACTTTCGGTTCTTCCCCTTCATGGTAGAATATTGAGTGACTTTCTCATCATTGTATACTAGTTGGGCAAGTTGCAACATTTCCTATTCCTCCAATACCAACAATCAAAACAATCCAAACATTTTCTTGAAAATTGAGGACATTTTCTAACAAAACCCTCAAAATTGCCATCTTATCATTTTCTCTCCCAATAACTTCTTCTAAGTGAAATTTATTCCTATATTCGCCAACTACATCTAGTTTTTTCCGAATGACACTGATTTGATGACCCAATTTAGAACTAAAACCAATCTGATTTGAGCTGGAGAAAAAAATGCGTACCATCTTGGGCCATTGATTCTGACCCATCATCACTTTGCGGCAAAGAACATCGATGGAGAAGTCATGGAGCAAGCCGTCTGCGATCTCGTGGTTGGTCAATTGTTGCTCCTCCGCGTCAAGAATGAAGGCACTGATGGTTGAAACAATGGCTCTCAGTTTGTGAGGTTCATCGTCGACACCCCAAGCAAGATCCATCTCGCGGAGAGCCGCTGAACCCAACTTGTTGAAGATTTCGGTTGTGATGTTGTTGTACAGAATCGTCTCTGCCATTTTTGAGTGAGATAGTTTGACAAGTGGAAGATGACTGAAAATATGAAGACTTTTAGTTATACTCTTTTGACCACCTACCAATCCAAACTAAATAATTTTAGGGTTAAGTACAGTGTTGCCACTGTTGTTTTTTTTTTTATTTTTTAGGATAATGAAAGTTTTTAAAAAGTTAACAGAGACATTCCGCAGCCTGGTATAACACATCCCGCCTATGGGTTTTGTCCCTACCTCTTGTGCGGGATATGGGGGGTTTGTTTTTCATCGGCAGTCTTGTAGATGCAGTTTTGGAGCAATTGATTTGACGATGGTCTAACTTGTGAGTCACTTTCGTTACTGCTTTTCTTTCTTGGTGATTTCTGCTGGTGTGTTGTTTCTCAGAAAATCTGTAACCCTTTCTTCAGTTTTATTCTCTTATTTTATGATTTGTTTTTGCTATGTTGGTTGGTGCAGAGGCTTCTACTCCTTCTGAAACTTTTTAAGCTAGGGTTCTCATGGCAGTGGTTGTCTTAGCTTCTTGTTTAATTTCTTTGGAGTTTTTGTTTTGGCTGCTTTTGTGGTTCTTGTTTGTTGTTGTTTGCTTCCTGATTGTTTGTTGCTGTTCTTGTTTAGGCCGGTTGGCTCTTTGTTTGCTCTTTAATTATTTAGTGGACTTTTTAACTTTACAACTTTATGAATTAGACCAATTTAACCTTCATTGAAGTGCTTAGTTAGCGAAAAAAATCTGCACAACCGTGAATAAAAAATTCGTTTGAAATCGAAACAAAGCAAACAAAAATGTTTTGGAAAGTAGACTCGTGAAAGTATAAAAATGAAAGGAAAAAAAATTGGCATGAGCCGATGACTAGAAGACTGTCAAATAAATTAATTAAAGATCTAATTTCAAAGAGTGGAAATTTCCCGACAATAGCTTTTGTTGAGTTTTTATAAAAATATCTATTTGGCCAAAAACTACGAAAATTTTTCAGAGAGTAACCAGATATGGAGAGGAACTTATGGTAAAACTTTCATATCAATCGAATATTACAATAACTTGAAAAAATTAATGAATTTAAACACAATATATTAGTACTATTTTGTGGCTCATATTAAATCAAGGGTAATTCTGATATTTTAATATATCTAATATTTTACAATAAAACTGATTTTAATATTAAGAAACAATTTTCATATTAATGTTTTGTTTGGATGAAAATTCTAACTAAGGTGTCTGTGTCTAAAAATTAGTCAAATTTGCTCAGATGGTGTCATTATACTTTATCCATAACTTTAATAAATTTTACGCAACAACAGCCATGTAAATATATTGGGCCTCCCTTGTATGGCCCTTATTGGGCTTCTTTTTGAATCCTAATTTTTTGGGGTATTTTGGGCCAAAAGGCCCACCATGTAATTACCAACTATGTAAAATGTAAATATGTTAAATTTTTTATTTAAGGATGTTGTTCCGACTCCTTATTGGGCTTCTTTTGTATCCCAGTTTATTTGGGCTGTTTTTGGCCAAAAGGCCCACCATGTAATTACCCACATATTTTCAGTTGCTTAAAATTTCAAAAAAAACAACTGAGTATGTATAATGTAAATATATTAAATTTTTTTATTTAAGGTTGTTGTCACCCTAAACTATTTGCATCCAGCGGAAGTCAAATCGCAAATTTGATACTTAGTGAAGTACCAACGTCAAGTGATTTTTTTGTCACTAAGCCAACCTCTTGGAATTGTATCAGTAACCACTCGGGTTATATCCGTCAATGTTACATCTTATCTAGCATATTATTGTTGTAGAGGGTTGCATGTATGCTTTTTTTCACGTAATCATGTACAAATTTTTAGTTGTATCTAACCATTTGAGCTTATATACGTTCAAAATTTTGTACAATACCATACCAATTAGTCAAACTTTTATACTATGACATTTTGAGCTTTTTTTTTTTAAACCGTAAGATTACTTTAATATGGGCGGCTATGTTATTATGTAATTTTATTACTTTTTGCTCTAAAATTTGCTAATTGACAAGAAAGTTCATGACAATTTTTTTGAGGTCAACCTTATTATAGCATTACCATGATTAAAAATGTGTCATGTCATTTTTTTTGGTTTTATTTTTGTTTTTGTTAATGTGTGGTTTAAAAGAGTTATGGGACCATTTAGGGGTTCTGGATGAGGACGGAAAATGTAATTTGGATAACTTACTTTGATATGTTGGAAACTTTCAAACATGTCAATGTTAATTTTATTTGGTTAATTTGGTTAGAAAGAATACTTATTTGATTTATACTCTTAAATTTGACTTTTTAAAATTTGAGTAGGAAAATTTGAGAAAAAAATTGAGTTGGAGTTTAAAGGGGACGGGAAGGGTAACTTAAAACGGGGAATGGAATTAGGGGTAGACAAATAATCTATAAATACGCGAATTCGATTTGATTCAATTCATGTAGATTGGATCAAATTGTTACATTCACGGATTGGTGGTATATTCAAAAAAATTGAATTCGTAACTCACGAATCGAATCACGGATTGATTTATCAAACTTCGCAACAGTTCTTGTCTCATGACGAGCATAAATGTAACCTTAATATTTCATGGTATGCGACGTTACAGCTAGAGCCCAAGATGGGTTGTAATTTAGGATTAACTTGATTCCATAAGATAGGATTTTGAGTGTATTAAAAAAAATACAGTATTCTTAAAAAAGTGCTAGTATTATAAATTTAGAAATTATTTGATTTAAGAATGATAATTTAGTAATTTCTTTCATTCAAGAGAGTTGACTTATGTTTTCCTAAATTTCTTGACTGAATAAATTATTAAATTTAAGAAGAATAATTTAGTATTTTGGATTAAGAACTATGAGGTCATTCTAGACTGAATAATAGTTTTCAATCAATATGTAATTATTTTACCTAATTCAATCAAAGTAAAAATTAAAATTTTAAAATATATCACTTTATTATTTGTAACTCCAAACTCAACCTAAATGTAGTTTTGCCTTATTTATTTTATTCATGTGCATCTTAAAAAGCTTTTTGCTAGATTTGGAGTGATGTTGGCATCTATGCTACACAGTACACGGAAATTTTTTTCTATCTAAAGCATCCTCATCTAATACTTTTTTTTATTTTAAATGATAAATAATTCCCTAATTTATTTGGTTTAATCTAATTATTAATTAGTTTTAAATTTGTATAATCTAACTTAAATAGTTCAAGTTCCCAATACAAAAACAAATTTAATTCATTAATTTTTTACAAGCAAGACTTTTTTAGTTTGTTGAGTCCTAAATAATTTGACTTATTAGAAAATTAGTAATAGTACTCGCGGAAAGAGAGAATGAGGATACAGTAGAATGCACAGTAATGAAATTTAAGGGGGTGCTTGGAATGGAACTCCCTAAATAGTTTTCTGTTTTGGAAGTTACAAAAAACTATTCTTGAGATTTTTGGTCTGCTTGGAATTATTTTAAGAAAATAGTTTTCCAAAAGTGGAGTTTTAAGAGTAGCACTTTTTAGAAAATAACTTTGAGTTGTTTTTGGTATTTTGGGAGAACATGCGAAGAACTGTTCTCTACTTAAAAAAGAAGCGGTCAGTGCGTTATAACCCTATCGTTTATAACAACCTTTTGCGTGTCCTTATCGAAAATGCAACACCTTTCTCACCTGAAATCACATCTCCCTCCTCTCTACGAGATCTTTCTGCAACGCTGCACTTCTCTCCTTTACGTCTAGACTTCTGCTCAGATTTTTTTGAAGTAAACACAAATCTGTATTCTAATTAAAACACAATACGCACACTCTTTTTTATCTATAGCAAGTTTGTGGTTATGAATTTTGTTTTTTTGAATGAATTTGGTTATTGATTTGATTGGTTGGATGAGTTCGGTTGCAAAATTTTAAAGTTGGGCAAAGAATGGTGAAAAATGTTATAACAAGAAAGAAGAAATAATCTGGAAAAAAAAAAAAAAGAAAAGAAAAAAAACCTAAGGGTCAAATCAATAAAAGACCCAATAACGACTAATAAATAAGCAAATAGGAAATTCATATTAATTCAAACGGACAAAACGTGCAGAATTTTGAATTCCAAGTTCCATGTCATAAGTTCCAACAATTACAAATTTTAAAATTTTAAAATTTTAAAGTTGGGCCATAAAAAATAGGCCCACAAACACTATGACCCAAAACACTGATTTAGATCATTTTGGCCCAACTACTTTAAACTTTGAAATATCAACTTGTGTGGCCCAAGAAACGTTTAAAACTTCAACACCATCGTATGTATGAAAAACTGGACAACAAGAACCTCCTCCTCACCACAAATGCAACACAATAATAGAATTACACTCTATTCAAAATTTAAAATATAAGAAACAAAGGTAAGATATATATATATATTGAAATTCAAAATGTGATTCAGTTGAAATTAAGGATTTAAAATCAAGATCAATGTGATTCTCTCCTCTGTAGCTCCCACTTTGATGATGGTGTGTCTTGTTATGTTTGTTCTATTGTATCCCAAAAAAAGAAGTCTTTTTAGGTTGCATGAAAAGAGAAAAAAAGTTACCATACAAACAGTTTCTCTGAAGAGTAGTGTCATGCATCAAATGCATTGTCATGTCGCTTTTGGTCATGTATTTGATAGGAGGATAGGTCAAATTTTGGACAATCTTGTTTTCAGATGTTTGTGAAAGTGAAATGGCCCCATGAGATTGTCCTTTATACCATCATTGGAATATGATGATTTATTCTAGGGATTATTAATGCCAATTTTTATACACAATTTTTTTTTTTTTTTTTTTTTGGGATGAATTTCACTTATCTCTCATGAGATTTTGTAAATATCTTACAGAGATCTCCTTTACATTTCATAATCTCACTTCTTCTCCTAAGGTTGGTTTATGTAACAGAGTTTCAATTGTTTGAACATTTTGTCTTTCTAATGCTTAGAATGACTGCAAACATTCTATGGGCAAAATGGCAAAGAGTGTCATTGATAAGGAAAGTAAGTGTGATTATAAAATGCAGAGTGGACCTATATGGGATATTGACGAATCTAAGAAGAAATAAATAAAATATACTCTACCCCCCCCCCCCCCTCCCCCCGCGGGCGCGAAAGTTTAAGCAAATACACACTG